TAAACACGTTCTCCTAGCCTATGCCAGACAGACAGATTAAGCGGTGCAGTTCTCATGCATATTAATTCACAAATTGAATTTGATCAGTTGATGTTAAAAATATGAGAATTTTTTTTTTTTTTTGGTCTGGTCCCCGCAAAAAAACAAAAGTATTGTGCAAATACATTATATGTCTGTCATCCATCTGTCAATTCATCCCTCCTGTTTACTTTTGGCCCCATCAGCCAATTTCACTAAATTTGAGCAACAAAGAAACAGACAGAAGTCTCCAAAGTAATAACATTTTAGTAAATCTCCCATTATTAAAAAAAAAAAAAAAAAAAAAAGCAACTCCAAAGGAGGGAGATCCCAAATTAGTACCTGCAGAATAACTGGAACACAGCTGCTGCAGAACGACATACAGCCTGCATGTTGGCCAGTTAGTACCTGCTGCCTCTTATGGGAGAGCATCAAGGAACAGCTGGTGAAGACAGGCAAAGGAAAGTCAGAACTGTTTGAGCCAAAGGGCACGGAGTGTAATCAAGTCTAGTTACCTTCATTCTGCACTCCAGAAAAAAAAAACTGCTTTAATAAATAAAATAGCCATGCAGCTTAGAGAACTGAGCGTTAACCCCCATGTTTATTTTAATCCAGCCTATGCCAGGCTTTCTGGCACAGAATCCAGTTTTCTGTCCCATTGCTTTCAAAAAGCTTTCACAAGTGCTTGTCAGCAGGGATCTAGCTGCAGAAGGCCTTGCAACAAGGTGACAAAAATCTTCACCAGGTTCCAAAAAAAAAAAAAAAAATCCAAATCAAACCTGCAACACCGAACCGAGGCTTAGATCGCTGCTATCATCTCATAGCTGCACAATGGTGAAACAAGCTCCAGGGAATTCCTTCCCTGCAGAGAGATGGGACTCAGCCTGGTTCCCAGCAGCAAGGAATAAACACGGATAGTTGGATGGCAGTAGCTACCATCCTCTGTCATTCAGTGACCTTTCATCAAATGTGACCATGTCCAATCAGGCCTTGGGACTGACCGTACGTGAGCAGGTGCCAGGAGTGGCCCCTCCAGGCCAAAGCTGTGGCAGGCAGCAGGTACCGTGTGGATTGCATGGGGAACATGAGTGCCTGTGGGGTGCAACGCACAAACATCTGCAACACTATGCACTCCTGGATTGCTGAGCCACCTTCCTGCAGAAATAGCAAGTTCTCCCCCTTTGTGGGCCTGAAGCAGACCATGAATACACACGCAGGGGTTCAGGTTTATTGCTTATCAGTGGCATCACCCTAAGCTAAAGCATGTAAGCTAAAACATATGTTATTTCTTTTACTACCGTATTAATTGCAACAGCACGGGAGTCTAGAGCTTTCCTTTCTACCTGAATTACCACTTAGCTGCTCAAGAACTGCTCAGGGAATGCACTGCCAAGTAAGAAAACATCCAGCTTTACTTAGTTGGAGGTATGAGCAATAAATGACATTCTTCTTTTGTGCAAAGACTTATTTTTCTATAAAGCATAAAAAAAATCTTGTGGCTGTCTAAGCACACCCACACAGATGAGAGGAGGACTGGCAGCTTTCTTTTGGGAACTTGGAAGTGGACCCTTTCAAGTCTTTGCAGTCACTGTACCTTGTTAGTGTTGTAGCCAGATGGACAGGGAGTGACCGGGTCGTGAAGGGAGCAGTACAGCACTGCGTCTGGCATACCTGGGATCAGAGCGACAGACACAGAGTAGCTTTATGAAACAAAACAAAGCTAATGCAAAGATGTGGTTTGTAAATCTGCAAAAGGAAACAGGGTATTTTCCCACACACAAGTACATCCATTATTGGCAAAGAAAATACTGTTCATCTGATCACTCAGCACCAAAGGTGGCAGACTTTTTCCCCAGCTCTACTAGCTGCAGGGAAGAGAGCGCAGAATCAGAACAAATCATCATATAATACCCTTTAGTTCTGCAGCCTACATAGCTCCTTGGAGATTTATTTGTGTTTCTTCTTGCTTAATACTCCTGCTACTAAAATTTGCCAGACCCAACAGTTGACTCACTTGACCGCTCAACTGACACACTGGAGACATCTGACATTTGACACAATCTAAACCAAGCAACAACCTCAAGCCTAGATTCTTACGGCAGGATAAGGCATAGTGAGAGAACAGATCAGCTACACAAATGAGAAATTTATCATCCCTGCCAGATTGGAGGTTTTAGATGTCAGAAAGCTAGACAGTATGTCTCAATGACATACGGTTTTCTCGTCACAGATAGTCACTGAAGTTGGTGAAGCCTCCAAGAAGTTTCAGATAAAGAGATTTTCAACTTTTCTTGAAACAACAAGTAGCCCCAAAGCAGTTAAAGTTTACTGAAAGTTGAGCACAAATTTCCTTTGGAAATCCAAGCCATAACTTTGCTTATCATGTCCAAAATTTTGATATGTTTTTTAGAAACAAAGCAAACAAAAAAAACCTTGGTCTCTCTGTATAGGATAAAAATGTTTAAACATTTAAGAAAATTATAATAATTTACATTATTTTATACATTCATAATATATGTGCAACTGGCACACCCAAAACATTCATGAAAATACCTCAGCTTTGATACAAGCATTAGCAACTCAGACATCTTTTTCTTGCAAAGTCTGCTAGATTTCATACGCAAAGAACAGTCTGTAAATTATAGAAATTAAAGTCATTGCCATCACTTCAACAGAATTTACCCTATACCCAGTGTAGCCCGAGACACGCAGCCAAACAAGGCATCCCAAAGAAGCTTGCTGACTTGGCTGATCATCCCACAGTTCTCTGAGCTACCTCCCCAGATATAAATACAGGCCGTGATACAGATACTGACACAAGATGCTAACCCTGCATGCAGGTTCCTTCCCCACGAGCCTGACCACAGCAATCCTGGCTGCATAATGCACGTGGTCAGGCTATTACTGATCTGTTATAACAACCAGAGGAAAAACCCAGGATAGTCACAAACACAGGAACTGCTGCTTTACTCGTTCTTATCACCAAGATGTTAAGACAAAGATTTCATTTGGGAACTGCTTCAAGAATGGAGTACAGTGACTGATGAAGATCACAAAGGCTTGGTGCGGTAGCCTAGGGCCATAGCAATGTTAACTGGTTTGCATTTGACTATCCATAAGTAAAACTGAGTTTATTCCCCAAACTGACTCTTTAACATGGAAAAATTGAAGGCAAATACAGGGAGCAAGTACAGTCTGACTGCTAAACTGACAGGAACAAAGAACAAGGGAAAAATGAGCTGCTTCACCTTCTGCTTTACTTCCTCAAAGCCCCACAAATTCAACATGGGTTCTTGCCCTAACATATTCTCAGAGGCTGAAGTGTCCACCAGCTGAGACTGACTTGATGTGGGGTGCTTTGCCTGTTTATTCTTCATACTGGATGAAGATTTTCTGTTGGAAATCTTTAGATGAAACCAACTATTTTTACGAGAATCAAAAAAGCCGGCTTGAGCAGATCCTCTCGGGAAACATATCTGAACAGCTGTATGGGGAAGGCCGTTTTCATGAGAATTTCTAGTTCTCCTCATCAAAAGAAGTCAAGAATTGCACCTGGCAAGATTCAGTCACAGCAGTGACTGAGGGCTGCAGTAAAACCTCTCTTTAGTTCTAGTCTCAACTTTTGGTCTATGCCCATCCCAGTCAATACTGAAGCCCCCCAAGGAGAAGGCTGGGTGCATAAAAAGAGAAATAATGCAAAATTACATATTTTTGTAGCCCATTTGAAGGATTTCTGGCCATACTAGTGAAAACATACTATTTCAAGTCTTCCTTAGTGCCACTTTGAGCGAGAAAATGCCTAAATGTGGAAAGCCTATGCCTACTGTACTGCCTAAAAATGCACCAGTGGGATCCACCTGTGTTACCTCTCCAGACACACAAGCAAACACACACACACTTTACCTATAAATTTTGCAGCTCCTTCTTTATACTCTTCCAGGACATCGTGAATTTCTGCCCTGCATCCAAATACAGAAACACATTAACTATGCAAATAACTGTCAAGAAAGATTGATGGTTTCATAACTAAGGCTTCTGTTCCCATACTTAGGCATTGTCTGAACTTGAATTGGTTTAGGCACGGACAGTTACCATCCGGCTATCAAGCAGCAAAGCAGGGACAGTGGGAACTAAACGCCAGAGACCCAGAGCTCAAGAATCACAGCTTAAAAACAGGGGCATTCATAATTCTGTGACAAAAAGGCTGAGCTTTCACCCACATTGACTAGCGACTTCGTGCTGGAGAGCATGAAGACACACTGTGACTTTCCGGGTTGCATTACTAACGTGCACCACTCAACAACTACACAAGACTGGGAGGGGAGAGCTTCAAACAAGCTTTATGGTGTTAATTTTAACTTTCAGCTACCACTTATACCCCAGTGGTTTTGAGTTGGCTGCTTCTAAAGCCGGGTTTGGCCGAAACACTCAAAAATTACGCAGCCCTCTCTCTAGGTCCCTTACCTTCACCTGCCTCCTACCAAGTCCCCGCGCCTCCCTTCGACGGGGAAGCAACAACGGGGCAACCGACTTTCGACATTCCGGGGAACGCGAGAAGCCCGCCTGCCCCCGCCCCGCCCGGCAGCGCCGCGGGGGGGGCCGGCCGCGCCCCACGGAGCCCCCGCCCCCCGGGCCGCGGTTACTCACAGGGCGGGCAGCGGGAGCTGGGCCACGGCGGGGACGCCGCCGACCGCCTGCAGGGTGTCGCGGGTGAGGTGGGGCGCCGAGCCGCTCCGCGTGTAGAGCAGGCAGCCCGGCAGCGCCAGGGCGGCGGCCCCGCTCCTGCCCAGGCCCACCAGCGTCCCCAGCCGCCCGCCGCCCGCTCCGCCCAGCTTCACCTGCATCGCCGGGCCCTCAGCGCCGTTACCGGCGGGGGGGGAAGAGCGCGCTCTCCGCCCCAATCACCTCCCGCGGCATCATCAGCGTGCGCCGGCACCTCCCTTCCGCCCCCCCCCCCCCCCCCCCCCGCCGGGTGGCCGTGGCGTGGCGTGGCGTGGCGTGGCGTGGCGTGGCGGTTTGCGGTGGGGGTTGGCCGGCGTGGCCATGGCCTTCCCGGGGCGCGAGCTGTACCGCTGGCGGCGCCGCACGGCCGGGGCCGCACCGAAGGTAACGGGGCGCCGGCGGGACGCTAGGGGGCGCGCTCGCGGGTGAGGGGGAGAGGGGAGCGGGGCGGGGCGGCCAGCGCGCGGCCGCCGCCGCGGCCCTCGAGGGCGGCTGAGGGCGCTGCGAGGGTTTGCGCCCACGCGGGGCGGCCCCGTGGGATCGCGACCGTTTTTAAGAGTCGGGATAGTAGGGGGGAGACAAGAAAAGAAAAAAAAAAAAAAAAAAAAAAAAAGGGTTTGTTTCCCGGGCGTGTGGGAGGGCTGCAGTCAGCGGCCTCTCGGTGTGCCCGCGGGTGGGAAGTCCGCGCTGCGCTCGAGTGAACGGCGCTAAACTCGTCAGCGTTAAACTCGTTCAAAATAAAAGAGGGGCAGGTGATTGCAACACTATTATTTATTTTTTTTTTTTTTTTTTTTTTTTTTTTGGTATCTTATTTTTGTATCTTATTTTTGTATCTTATTTCCAGCTAAGGTTTGACTCTGACAGCTTGGAACGCTGGACCAAGGTGATGTAACTTGCACAGTAACTCACTCGGCAGTAAGGCACCTTGTTGCTAGGCGTAAAACTCACGGGTCTCGCACACGAGGCATGCTGTTGAGCAGTACTGCAGGTTGTCTGCACGGGCAAGTAATACAAGAGATTGACCCCAAAGCACCATCTCCAGCATCTACCACCATCTGAGATCAAGGAAAATGAATTCTAGGGTGAACTTCCTTTTGTTTTGCTTCCTTGGGCACCCCCGTGCTCAACCCTCCGCCTGCAGCCTCAGGCAGCAGCTTGCTCTGGTTGTCCCTGCACAAAGGGGAGAAGTTCCTCAGAAATTCGGGCTGTCTGGGGTACAGGCATTACATGTGAAAACACAGTGACACATCAGAACCATTTACACCTCGGAGAGATGAATGTGGGACAGAAAAGCACTCAGACTATTTACACAGTGGCCAGCCTGGTTATGACAAAACGCTGATACCCAATTTTATAGCAGGTGGTTGCTGGGGACAAGCTCAGCAAGTCCCCATCCAGTCCCCAGGGGCTGGGTGTTTGCATTCTTCCTGTGTGTGTTCTTCAGTTGCTATGATTGCCACTAATCGCCAAATGAATCCTTATTACTTGATTTCTAAGCCAGATTTCTCCAGTTAATCAAACAGTCAGAGAAACATGTTTCAAAATAAATCTGTTTCTTAGAACAGCCATGCTGTCTTGTGTTACCTTCCTACTGATGTTTGTTCTCTGGGGGAGAAATTTGGATATAGGAAGTTTAAAAATTAATACCTAGCAATCCTTAGAAATGTTTTCCTTTCTTTAATTTAAAGAGATTGGACCAACCCTCTGAGTATGCTGTCTCTGAAGCTTTTTCCCTTCCAAAGTCAAGGTATCCACAGGGGCCCTGTCCTGTGACAAGTTTGGAAACTGTGGAAGAGCTGCAAGATCATCATGAGGCCTGTGAGGAAGGTGAGCTGAAATACTGCTTGCCACCAGCTGCCTAAAATGAACTGTTCTTGATCCAGCATTGTGGTTCTGGTCTGAAGAGGCTCTTGCAAAGCTTGAGACCATAAGAAACAATTCATAGTAAGATGTCTTTCATCTAATGGAGAAAGGTATAAGAAGAATCAATTGTTGGATTTCAAGGTAGATCTTAATTAGCATTCCTAAGAGAAGCATAAGCTCTCTGTCTCCTGGAGATTTCAGGTAAATATGAGGATGAATACTGCCTTTGAAGACACACTGTGTGGTCAAATGCAAGTTAGTGGGCTATAATAAACCAGATGAAATTACCTGACATATTTTTAATAGCAGACCAGATGTGAAAATGGGAGTTGCTCTGTGTAACTTTCACATCTATGAATAATTGTGTGTTTTTTCTTTGATTCCCTGGCAAAATTTTCCTCAGTGGTTAGCTAACTAAACAGTCCCTTTGTAAAGCCTGCAGCCACAAGTACTTACTGAAGTTTGAAAATAAAGCTGCGGTACATTTAAAACAAAAACAAAAAAAAAACAACAAAAAAACAAAACAAAAAAAGACATTTCTCATCAGTGCTGGAAGTATATCTTCAGTGTAAAAAGCTGATAGGAGACAGGATTTTAAAAACTGAGTTAACCATTCTTTTAAGACTCAAAAGTAAGCCTTACAGAATGGAATGAACAGATGTCTCAAGGGCATACTCTTCAATACAGGAACTCAGCACTTCCACTTGTAATCATCAAGAGTTCAACTAATAGTTCAACTAATACCCCTTTCTGCTTACAGCACGCTGTCTGCATGCATTATACAGCATAGTGGCTCAAAAGGAGCTGTCTTTGCAATCGCTGGAAAAGTTGCTTGCTTTCCTCATGTTTATTATTTTTGTTTGCCCTTCTCTGCTAGAGTTTTTCTTTTAATAGCTACCGATCCCTCAGGATTGTCCCTAGCTCAACTGAAAGCCTTTTATCTGGAATCCATTATTAGAATACTTAATGGTATTAACTACACATAGTCCACTTTGCAGAGAAAGGTATTGATAAGAGAAGTGCCAGAACTTTCTTATTCCAGTTACGAGGAGCTCACATTGCCCAGTCAAAAAAGTAACTCTTCCCCAAGTGATAAGCTGGTTTTCTCTCTTTCTGCTATCAGTTCTATTTCCTTGTTCCGGTGCTGGCCTGAGAGAATGTGAAAGAGAACAGAAGTGATTTGAAGGACAATAACCACTAGATCTCTGTTTTCTTTAAAAAAACCACCCCTTTTTAAGGCAGTTTTTAAAAGGCTTTATTGCCTTAGAAATACCAGGACTCAATGGGAGCATCTTCATTTTGTGCTAGAACTAGTGATTTGGAGACGCTGCTTCCTCCAGCTGTGTGCCTTTACAGGGGATGACTTACACTACAGTGGCTGCTGAGATCCCTGCTTTTTGCCCACCCTCACCGTGTGGATGGCTCAGCTTCTTGTGGGGCTGTTCCTGATGCCTTGCAGTTTACCGCCCTGCTTTCTGCTTCAGGAACAGCTTGGCCACCCATGCGGCAAGCCCAGGTGGTTTGTTGAGGCAGCAGCCACCTTAGCTGTCCTTGCTTTTGAGTAGGGACTTGGAAAAAGGTATTTTTGCGTTTTTGCACAGAAGAATGGAGATGCAAATAAAGTCCACTGAAGGACTTTATACCTAGTTGTTCATTAGGCATTTGGGCTCACTGAGGAGTGCCACATCCATCATGGGTGCATTCTTGTAGTTACAGTCTTAATTCTGAATACAGGTAGTCGCTGGTGAAGCTGACCACCTGACAGATTTGTAATCTAGCCTCGCCAGTTGTTCCTGGAGCTGTGGTACTTGCAAAGGTTAACCTGTACGCATGAAGCAAACATTTGTCCAAACAGTAGTTCTTTTTGTATTTTAACATGTGACAGTGCTGGTTGTACATGGGGAAAATAGATCAGTGTCTGCAAGTGCAGTGGTAAAACATATGAAAGCCAACAGAGTTATGAATTACCTTATGTGAATTCCATCTCCTTGATAAATGCTGTAATAATCACACGAGTGATCTAAATGTCCACAGAATCTGGCAGGAAAAATGAGGTGGAGAAGAATTCATTTGTGACATATGTGACAGGGAAAAAGTTTGCCACCTTCTCTTCCAGTACTTTTATAGATCAAGAAGATGAGAACAGAAGTATCAGCCTTATTTCATCTTCTGTTGCAGATCAGCTTTCAGTCATTTTAGACAGCCTTCCCAGCATGTGATATAACTATCCCAGAGACAGTCTTGCTAGTTTACACGTACCCATATATTTTTTAAGCAAGTGAAGTCATCAGTCTCTTTCCTCATGATAGCCCAAGAGCTGCTCAGCAACTGGATGAAGTCCAAGCTGCAACTGGAGCTGATGAACTGATGGAGAAGAGGAAGCTGACTCTGTCCTCCTGGAAAAGCCTTTGGCAGCCCCTTTGAACTATGAGCGGTTTGATGGTGAGAGCACAACAAAGCAGTTCTCCTGGCTTCCTTTCTGAGGGCGGGCTGGGGAAAGGGAGCCAGGCCTCACGGCTTGTCAGACTGAGAGGTAAAAGTTGCTTGCAGGTTGGGACAGTGGGCTCAGTAGGAACAAGGTTTGAGATGGTGGTTTTTCTCCCCCAGCTCTTCCAGCAGCTTGCTGTAGGGCTGCACAAATGCACCTCAGAAACATTCGATGTCTCCCTTTGTAAAAGAAATTTTATTTCTTTTGTGTATGGGTATTTGCGAGGCCTGTCAAATTTATAGAACCATTTGAGATGCTGAGAGGCAAGGCAGTAAAAAGTGGATGAAATGTTGTTACTGCTCTAGCACGTTCAATGGAAGACTGATTAAGACTCTTTGGGGATAAATGGAGGGCAGTCAGTGTGTCTGTTTTAATCAGAAATGCATTCACAGTCTGGGAAAGTGATCCCTTTAATTACGTTAAGCTTTGTGATCTGAGACAGAGGGGTTTATTCATTTCAGACTAGGCTGAGATAATCTGAATTCCTCATTTCAGACTTGTGCAGCTATCTGGAACACAAATTAGAAGGTTCTTCTGTCCAAGAATACCTACAGCATCTTTTGCAGAGTGAAGTTGTGAACTGTGGGATAGTGGAAGACCTTAAACTTGAAGACGTCAAGGAAAACCAGAAATTTGCAGATCCACGAATAATCATGGAGCTTAGACACAAGCAGGTGAGCAGGCAAGGCAACACAGTTAAAAGGAATAAGATGGAGGATTATAGGATTAGAGTAAATGCTCAGTGATACTTTCCCAGGTATTCTCTCCCAACCTGCAATAATCTCTAACTTGGAGGCAAATAGCTGAGGATACTCTTCCACAGTTTAGCTGAAACATTACCGTGTTTCTGCGTGCACATTAGCCATTCATATTAGCTTGCACAGTCAACTTTTTCTACATCTATTCAGTTTTTTCCCCTTTCTGAAGACCGACAGGAAAAGCTGCCACGGCAGTCAGTTCTGAGTTTGCTCCCATCCTGTAATATTGGTTTAACCTCACTCTTGGATGGAGTTTTTTGCTGGTCTGATAGGATAGCCAGTCCAGTCAGTGCCAGCTAAAGATAGGGTTGCTCACTTCATGTGAAAGGTGGCTTGTGTCCCACCTTGTCAGTGTACAATTATCCTCAAATCCTTCAGCCTTTGGCACCTGCTTTGACTTTTGCTGATTTCCCTCTTCCCAGGTGAAAGAAAACCGACTGAGGCGTCAGAAGGCATTAGAGCTTCAGAGACAAGAAAAGTCCTGGAAGAAATCAGTTCTGTTTGAGGCCAAGCTCCAAGTACAGGAGGAGGATAGAAGGAAGGCCCTGAAGGCCAAGAAGGAGGAGGAAGAGATCCAGAGGGAAGTGGTGAAGCTGCGAAAGGAAATGGCTGAGAAGAGGCACACCATGGCAGAAGCACGGAGAGCGTAAGAGGGAGAGGGGGGCATGGAAAGAACCATATGAAGAACACTTACCAGCTCCTTTTGCTAAATAGAAGAAAAGTGGTGGTCCCAAAGGAAACGTCTGCTATTTCTCTGTCTCCAAACTCTCACAAAACCTTTTATTGCTTTGCTACCAACATCAATGGCAGAGCTTGTCATTAGTGGAAAGATGGGCTAAAGATAATGTTAGCCTCCCCTCAGCCATTACCAGTATGTACACTGAATCACAAAGTATCAGTGTGTTTGCACCACCCTGCATTTTCTCCATCAACTCTGTGGCCACATGCAGCCTTGTTAGCATCTAATGCACCATGAAAGCCAGTACACAAAAAGAAAAAAAAAAATAGTCTGTGTTGCAAGTCTAGCACTTACAATACTTCCTCCGCTATGAGAGAATGAAGAGCATTCTTGGCTGAGAATTCTGCAGACATAGATTTTGCTTCTGCTGAGTTTAGATTGTCACAGAGATGTGATTTGTAGGGATGCCATTTATTTACTTAGGCAGCCCTGAGATCCTGAATCTTCTCATGCAAGTGCTCTACTGAAATCTTACTATTTTCTTCTGCCTGCTATATTTTGGAAATGCTCCAGACTGTTTAATCTCTGGGACCCCACACTGCGACAGAGGCTGTTTTCTAGGAAAGCTGAGTTAAATGATCAGCAGCTGTCTAAGCTATAGAGGTGATTCTCTTAGGATTGGCCAAAGAGTGAAATCTGTGCTACAGTGCTTTCCTCATTGTATGAGAACTGTATATTTGTTTACTTTCCAGTGAGGGGAAGGGAGAAGAAAAAAGTCAGAAGCTGTCAGTGCGGGAGGTATCTATTACTGCATCACCACCCCTGGTCCTGAAGAAAGAAGAGCAGGGAGAGGAGAAACAGAGAAAGACTCAGGAGCTGCTGCGCAGGATTCACACCAATAAGCAGAGAGTGAGCATCACTCCTCTTTATCTGAGACTCTGAGCTACCTGCCCTCAGCTACTGTTTGCAAAACTGAAGTAAAAAGTCCAGGTTATCAGGACTTTTTACTTCTTCCAAGCCTCCCTCCTGATACCAGGAAAGTAGAAGAGCAGAGCAAAAAGTATCTTGTAAGACTAGGAGCAAGAAATCCTGAGCCTCCATCCCCAGTGTGTCTGTGCCTCATGTGTACTCAGGGGGAGGTTTCACTTGGATTTGTGGAAAAGATGTGGCTCTCAGTACACTTGCGAACAGAAAGGCTTCTGCAATTGAGAAATAGGCAGATGTGCAGAGGTGGCAATGGAGCAAGATTTTTTTTTCCCTTGAGGAAGGAAGAAACAGGGGGGAAGTGACACAAAAGGGCCTGAGAAGCCCTTATTGTGTGTATGAGCAGATATTTTAAAGATTGCCCTGCAGGCCCTGGTGCAGGACCGGGGAGCGGAAAGAGAAGTGCTGAGGCCTGGGATGAATTTTGAACTGGGTCCCCCAAGAGTTGATGTATGCCAGCACATCCACAGTAACAGGTTCCCCAAGGATCCACTCCCACTGGGTGCAGTAGGATATTCTGTGATATTGCAACAGCTCTTCTGAGGCAAACATGCAAACTTTAATAATTCCTAGTAGGAACCTATTCCTTTTACCCTCATTATTCTGATACCGTGGCCAGCTCTGGGTTAAACACCTAGTTGTATCAAATACTTGCAATTAAGGAGTGATCTTCTTGTACTGAATAATTTTATATAGGCAGTCTCAGCGAAGGGAAGAAATTTCCCTGAGTGCAGGTATGAATGCCATCCATCACATAATGGTTTTAATTAATAGAGCAGTCGTCATCATTAATGTCTACTTATCTACGTCTAGAATATTTTTATATTTCTGTATTTTTTTATAGAAGAATCCCAAAGCTTTCATGGTGATTGTCCCCATGGCTCACTTCATCTGCCTGTCTGCTGGATTTGAGCTTGACTACTGTTTAGCAGTACACAACCTCTCTCCAGCACAATCTAAGCTACGAAGATAAGCCTGAATTAAACCACTGAACAATTTAGGGCTGGCATAATGTGAGAAGCCACAGCTTAGCTGAGCTAAGCAATAGTGACACTTAGATTATTTTCCTAAAGCAGAAAGAAATAGCTAATGCATTGATAGTTTGTCCTTTTTGTAAGTCTCCATTTGGACATTTCAGTAAGTGAGAGGAATGCAATTAAAACAAGGCATTACGACAAAAGGAGAACAGCTGAGTTCTGTGAGTTGACCCACTTGGAGGATCAAAATGAACAGTGTCTGCAGCGACAGAGCTAGAATTATGGGGTAGATTAGATAGCAGACTGCTGTTCTGTAAAATGTAAATCACTCTGAGAGGCAGCGAGTCAAATTACACAATAGGGAAAGGTTTGGCTTCCTGCTGGGAGAAAAGTGAGCACTGGTCATGTCATAAATTTATACTGGGAAGTGTCTTCATTTTTGTCTAGGTTGAAAAAAAAAAAAAAACACAAGTGGTCCATGGAGATATTTGTGAACTGTTCTCCACAGACATATTCTTGCCTGTAGCATTTTGGAAATCACCTAGATTTTGAAATGTATTTCCTGTCTCTGGAAATTCTATGTTCCTCACCCATTTTATTCCTTTACACTTAGTGAACTGAGTGTGTTTCACTCAAAAGCATAGAGCCCCATGATGTTACCTTTCTAGTCTCTTTCAGCTTTTTGTCGAAGACATGCATGTGCTCTGCGTTACTTTTTTTACCCTCAAGATAATTGTTGAAAGTGGGGATTCTAAAAAGAATTTCAAAAAGTCAGATGAGGGGAAGGGTGGAGAGGCTCAGCATTTGTGTGACAGGATGTATCTTGCTCATTGGTTTTCTGAAACTCTCCCGTGCAGTGCATGCAACGACATTTCTCTGCTTGGTTGAAAGTCATTCTGGAGCACAGAATTAAAATGGGGAAAGCCAGAGCCCTTGCTGACTGGAAATGCCAGCTGAAAGCCCTGCGAGCCTGGAGAAACTATACATGGGCCCAGAAAGTAGAGCAGGAGACACAGCAATTGGAAGTTCATCTCCAAGATCAAAACAGGTAGTGACCCTACACTGTGGAATTCCTCCTACTGCAGCAGTACTTGGGCAGCGCAGTGATTGAGGACTGTAAAAGGAACTTGCCAGTTAGCCATCAGGAAGAAAATAGTAGCTTTTTGTGAAAATTGCTACATTGCCTGCAGTCTGCCAGAGGCATTGTTGCACAGATGAAAAGGAGGACAGAGATAAACAAGAGCTTTAGCACTTTCCAACAAGCCTGTGTCTCACTCTCTCTGTAGGTATCTTTCCTGGAAATCTCACCCTGGCTTGCTCTGGACCCTAGAGAATATGAGCTGCCATATTTATTCCTGATTCATATAGTTACTTCCTGTTTCAGTAGTCGTATAGCAGAGATCATTTTGGCCAATGCCTTTCATTAGGGAGACTGTTGGATGAATTCCCTATCAGCCAGAGAAAATATTGCTCCTGCAGGTGTCTGGCAGGCTGTGTGGTGAGGCACTTCCACTTCCCCTTATGCAACTGGCAAGGGAACAGGATACCTTTTTTGCACCTATCCTACAGCCCAAGGATGACACAGGAAATTGCAAAATGTGAACTAGGGAAACTTACTTCAAAATAATGGGCATCCTTTCTGCCCTCACACTCCTCCGTGGAGAAACTCTGTACAGCTTTGTAGGGCCTTCAGAGTTAAGCGACAAAGAGACTCAGGAAGTTATGGGGCCTCGTGCCATGACCTGCACTGCTGTGCTTGATGAAAAGTGTTTCAGGCAGGCCGGGGCAGAAGTCTCACTCCTGTCATAACACAAGTGCTTTCCCATTCAGGAAAAATCAACTGTCTGTGGAGCACAACCAGCGACGGCTTTTGCGCTGCTGCTTTCTGGCGTGGCAGCGCTGGAGCCAAGCAGAGACAGGAAAGCGAGAGTTGCAGATCAAGAGGGAGGAGATGAAGAGAAAGATGGCACAGCTGCTGGAGGCAGTGTCACTGGGGAGGGGTGGTCTGCACGGGCCACTGGAGGTTAACAAGCCTGGGACAGCAGAAGTAAATCATCAGCAAGATTTGCAGCAAGACAAGGTAAATCCTTCCCATGTAGTTTTGTCTTTTGGCATCTTAGTTCTCTTACAAAGTACTTCTGTGCAATCCGAAATAAAGAGTACATTGACCCAGAGGAAGGCTTCATTCCCAGGGTGACCCCCAAATACCTGCCTGCAACTGTTCAGGAGATAAGTATTTAAAATTCAGAGGTAAATGCAAAGGACAATGGGTGACTTTTAAAAATAATCTCTAATGCTGCCCAAGAGCAACCCTTTATGTACTGTGAGTTGCAATGAGTGTCCTGCCCCCAGATTACTTTTGCTGAGAGATTAGCTACGTTGATGCCTGCTTAGACTTAAAAAGAATAATGCTTGACCGCATGACAAGAGATTTTGTCATACCAGTGCAGCTCTGCCTTTTAAGCATGGGGGAAAAAAGTTGTCACTGGCTGTTTCAGGATAATGTATATCACAAGGAGGTAGGAGAAAAGAATCAGAGGTTGCTTCCTTAAACTGTCATTTGTCAGGGCAGAGCCTGCCCTTCCTTTCTGTCTATAAAACCTGCACCACAGCAGTATCCCAGTCCCAGCCTGAGAGCTCACGCACACAAGCTTTTCATTTGCTTAAGCGTCATCAAAAGTTGATTTCATATGGTGCTTGTATCATCCTAGTAGGCCTATATTTTTCTTCTGATGCACTGGTAAAATTTGTGCTGGAAGGATGGGACTGAATTTGGGGTTTGACCTAGGAATCATAAAGCAGACTGTTATAGGTAGATTAAGGCCAATCACACCCAAATATGGATTAATGAATCTTTATTAAGGTAAGAGAGCAAATGCAGCGCTGGGGTGGCTGAGGAGTCGCAGCTCTGTCCAGGCCCACCAAATTGTTTAAGTTTCAAACCCCCTTTTATCCACCCAGCTGCCGGTTTCAACACCTTCTGCACGCCTCCTGGCTTCTTCTACAATCTTATCTTCTTTCTTCAGCCCTGTGGTCCTTACACCTTGTCCTTCCAGTCTGGGCCAATTTGCAGCTCCTTTGTCTTTTATGGCTCAGTGGTTTCAGTTCCCCTCTTATCTCAAAGACAAGGGATACCAGCGATGGCCCATTCTGTTCTTTCTCAATCCATTGCAAAGGAGTTACCACCCTTGGATATGGATCATCTGGTGAGCATCCCAAGAGGGGGGGCTGTTGGGTTGGTGTTTCCTCAGATCAGTTCCCCCCTTTTCCCAGTAGTAAAGTCTTTTACTTTTCTTAAAATTTGGATCATTGTACTAATAATAGCTTTAGCCTAAGAAGTAATTGTTTAATTCTTCTATTATTTATCACAAAATTCTTCTATTATTTATCACAACAGCCTCCCATTTTGTGCATAAATGGGGCCCCTCTGCCCTGGCTAGGAACTGGATAAAGATTGCATAGCTGACATTACCCTACTTCTCAGGCATCTTTCTAGATTTGCATTAAAGAAACACTTACTATGTAGGAAGGGCAGAAGAGTGCTTGGTTTTAATCAATGCCAAGTTTCCCTCATTTCTTTGTGGTTTTTTTTTTTTTTTTTTTTCCCCCCTAGCCAACTGAAACTTGCCTTGTACAGAAAGAACCTGACCAGACCAGAGACCACTCTTCTTGTGATGCTGCTCACACATCTCATTCCTACAGAAAACCCAAATTTGCCTGGGAGATTACCCCAAAGCATGCAGCCCCGAGTGTCCAGGACCAAGCTGTGTACAGGAATCAAATAGCCACTCCCTCCCAGCAGTTTCAGGCACCTGGTCCAAAGACTGCTCCTGCTTATGGTAGCCGTTTTGAGCACCGTCATGCCTTCCAGCAACGTCTGATTGAAGAGCAAAGGCAGCAGCTTCGGAAACAGCAAGAGCTGATCCTTGAACTGCAGGAAAATCAGAGACTGAGCAGAGCTAGAGAAGAGGCAGCACAAGTCATGGCTGTAACCCAACCACTTAACAACTCTGCTTCACAAACCAGGGAGGAGAAACCAAAGAGGGAAAAACAATCCAGATGCAAGAATACAACTCATTTGAGGTATATGCCCTCAATAAAGCAGGCTCAATTAGTCAGCATGTCTCATTCCTACTCAAGTTGAGCCAGAATTTGCCAGGCACACCTCAGTCGTGCTAGTGCTATCTGCTCTTCCTCTCACCTGTGACTTAGTCTCAAGGGTAGTATCAGGCTGGCCACAGTTCTCCATCATTCTCCCTTTCTGCAATGGCTCGACACCGTGTGATCCATACAGGATCCACTTTGAAACAGCAACACTGGAGTGTCACACATAGTGGCAGCAGGGATTGATTTAGTTAGCAAAAAAGAAAGTGTCATCCTCTCTATTTCAGAACATGCAGCAGCCCTGGACACTTGGCTACTTTGCAAGCATGCACCATTAATCCCAAGCGGGAGAAATGTAAATCTGGTATTCAGAATGAAAATGCAGCACAATGGAGAGTAGAAACTACAAGACCTGTTTCTCAACCATATGTATGAGACATAATTTGATCACATCCACTGATGAATTTCTTTACTCTTTCCTTTCATAGTTCAACTGTTTCTTGTGGGCCAGAAAACATGAGGGCAGTGATGCAAGGCAGAAGGCCCTCCAGCCAGCTGACCTCAGCTCATCCCATACTGAAAGGTATTGTTCTAGATAGCAAAGACCATTCCAGACCACTTTTCTCAACAGCTTGCCTGGAAACTTCTCTCTCTTCACCTCAGCCTTGCTGGTTGATGACAGTATGCAAGTAAAACTCAGCACTCTCTCCCAGCCTGACCAGTGCTGTGAGAGGGTAAGCTGTTTTCATGCCCAAGTCAGGCACCTGTAAAACCTGAGCCACTGCAAGCCCCTCAAGTCCATGCTTAGTGCACCGTAGTAGCAGTTACTCCTAACACTTGTGATTGTTTCTGATGTGACAAGATTCAGAGAGAGAAGCCCTACAGGGTTTTTTGCTGTCAGTTTTATTCTCTTCATTGCGCATCCAAGTAACACTTACATGACAATGACTGGTTAGTTTAACTTTAACAGAGGTATTGAGATTTCAAAGGGAATTAAGTGCCTACCCATGGTTTTGTGAGACAACACTAACTAAGCTGGGGAAGGAGTTCTGGATCCCTGCCTTCTGTGAGATATCTCGCCTTCTCTGGCCACACCAGAACAGCATATATACATTAAACATGCAGCACAGCCTTTTCATGCAGTAAATTAAGATCAGGTTCTGCTATAGGTCTAAGTCATGTTCTTCTGTATCAACTGGTGGGTGGTCACAGGCTGCACGAGAAGTCTGGAATACGATCATTGCGATGTTTTAACAGTTTGGGGATCACCAGAGCTTTTCAGCCATGATAGTTGGGCATTAATAGTTGCCTTTCATTAACTATGTTTAGCTCCAATGCTACCGAGTCCAAGACATCACTCATTCTGATTTGCCTGAACTCTGTACACCTTGTGAATAAGTTATCACTGCATGATTTTCCCTTGGCAGAGAATCCTGGGACAGCCAAGAAGAGAAAAAAATCTGAGGAAACCTAGCATGGTCAAAACACTTAAATTCCCCCTAGTTATCAGTTGCTTCAGTCTGTGCTTCGTTTGCAACTTCAAAAGAAGCAAGCATGGGTTCTCAATTCCACTGCATGTTCTGCGTGGTCACGTCAGCACTGTAAGACCTTTGCTGATAGATAGCAAGATCACTGCATTGCAATTTACCTCCCAAAAGAAGCACTAAGCAGTAGTTTCTCACTAGTGGGACCAAGTACGTGTGTGTCCCTGTGGAAGGAATGCTTTTCATCATGAAGGTGCTCTTTAAATAAGCAACTGGAGTATACTGGAGACCTCATAGCAATTACTGATAAATCAGATGCCCTGAACCTCAGCACTCAATCTGGGGAGACAGGGATAAAACCTCTGAACACAGCTCCTTTCATAACTGAGCTGCATGGCTGTGACTGTCAACCAAGGAGGGTGGTGTGAATCTAATTGGGGTAGTCCTGAGTCATGTCATAAATGTTTATAGGTTCCTTGTTCATGACACTGCCAGCCATAAGAGGCAGCAGAAAGCAAATCCCTTTGTGCTGGCATTGCTAAGTCAACAATGGCCTAGCCGTAAAGTGGTCATCCTTGTTCATCAAACTTCTGCCATTAACCCATAGCTCATTTCTACTAAGCCTTATGCATTCTGTTTCTGTAGCTATGGAGGAGAGAGCAACTCAGCGGGCAGAACGGAGGAGGAAACTAGAAGAAGCCAAACAACGAAGAGAAGAGGAAAAAATGGTAAGGGAATTAGAAAATGAAATAAAATCTCTTTCACACCATTCCAGTTACAAGAAATGCTGTTTTAACCCCAGAGTCAGGGACCAAGAAAAGGCCCTTGATTCAAAACAGGAGTTTTCTAGCTTGCATGAAAGCAGATGTCTGGCACACATCAAAAGAAGTAGTTTTTGCTGCATTTGCATATGATGACAGCACTAGCCCTGCCATATCACAGGCAGACACTTCATGTTGATGTTGTTGCAATTCTAGAAGCAGCCTCCCTTACCACCCCCCCCAACACTTCTTTCACGCTTACCCCACGACCGTAACTTGTCCTTGCTGAGGATGGGAAGGGTGGAATGTGCATGCAGAGATCCACTTGATTGGACCTGGCAACGGTGGGTTTCCCCTCCCCTGCCTTTCCTGTCTGATCACATGCAGCTTGAGGACATGCAGTCTCACCTAGTAAAAATCCTGCCTCTCTCTAGCAAATCTCTGCTGAAAAGATACTGACAGTGTTTGCATAGTTAATACAGAAATTCTGTGATAAGCATCCAGCAGAGGAGCCTTCTTAGCTTCAGGGCATTAAGCTGTTACTGAAAACATTGATCGTAAATTGCATTAGGATTAGAAAGCTCAGAACTGGGGTCCTAAACCAACTAGCGTTTCTTCCTTCTCCAAGCAAGAGAGATGCACTCGCATATGCAGGAGGCTGAAATGAGCCTTAGAGAACACTTTAACCATAGAGTGGACACACAAGCATCAGGTTAGGTTTCTTCAGCTGCAGTCGCTGCAATCGTAGAGATCAAGAAGCACAATCATAGTAATCATGCATTATGTCTGGTGTGGGTTTTAGGCCTTTGACGCATACATCAAGAGCAAAAGCTTTCTGAAGTGAAAGCAGAGTGGGGTTTGCAAGAGGAGTAGATAAACATTCAGATGAGGACATTGTGCCAAGTATGACTAGTACTGAAGCAAAACAACTTACTTGAGCTTCAGTGTTTGGGGAAAGAAATGTTTGAGCACCTGTAATGTTGCTTTGCATGTGGAAGTAAAACTTCAGAGCAGAGCCCAGGTTTTCAGAACTAACTTCAGCAATCAGGTTATCAATAAATAACTTGGCATATGGTTTAAATTTTTAGGGAAAGAGTGGGCAAGTACTATAACTTAGGGCAAAGAAAGATATAAATATATATAAAGTAGTAGAAAGATATATATATATAGGTAGTAGAAAGAACAGTCCCTCCTTCCTTCCACAGATCATTGTCCAGCACAGATCATGCATCATATGTGACAAAATCTGCGTCCTTCTGAAATTTCAGGTGCTGGTCAATACTAGAGGAATACTGGGAAAGTTTAGAGGTTTGTGTTCTCTGAAAAGGTCACATGCACCAAATTAAATTTTACCTTCTCCCATTTCAAGGCCCAGCAGAAGGCTGAAGAGGAAGCACGACAGAAGAGGGAGGCCGAGGAAAAGGAAGCTCAGCAAGAAAAACGACGGGAGGAGAGAAGGCAGCAGAAGCTGGTGACCAAACACCTCACCTGATTCCTTCCCCTTTAGCTGGGATAGGGAAGAAGAGCTGTTACCCACCAGCACTCAGTCAGCAGCCAGAGTAATGTGAACTGAAGGTCTTAATGAGTAGAGCAGAGTTCCACAGCACAGCACCAGCTATGTAGACTCACCACCTTCCCCCTTTTTGGCAAGGTTAGGCTGTGGCTATACCTCAGCAGTGAATGTCCACCAGCTGGGATCTCTAGTCCCGCTGATGAGGCAGCCAGCATAAACTTCACAGTGTGTTTGGTCCACAGCCACATAAGCCCCCGCAGTGGCAGCATGCTCAGCATACTTTCAGACTGCTCCTTCCACTTGCATCCCCCTCCAGAATACACACTGACACCGGTTACACACACACTATTTAAAAGTAAGCAAGCCTGACATATATCAAGGGCAACTTTCAACCTGAAGAATAGAAGCATCCTCTCCTTGGAGCTAGCCTAGGAATAGCCCCACTTCAGTATTATTACTTGGAAGTGACCTGTCCTAATAACCCAAATAGCACATTTGAAATCCTACAGGAATTTGACCTACGATTACTGTTCTACTTGGATGTTTGACCTTCATCCCTGAGTCTCGGTCAAAAGTGATATTGTATGGTTACATAATACCCACATCCCTCCCCTATTATTTAGGTTAGATTAAGTGGTAGAGTCCATGTGTAAACTCAGAATAATTTTTGGACATGTTTTCAATCTAGTTTTATAAACATAGAAAGCTGCCCTCCTTGAGCTCACCAAAGCACCCCTTCCCACGTTGATGAAGGCCCATCAAAAGGAGGTTCCTGCTGTATCAGCACTGCTGGTAGCCACAGATCATACGTCTGCTGCAGTAACACCAAACTGCAGTGCTGAGGAAAGGCCATGTGCCAATACATGGCCGAAGGAAACGTCCAGAAATACCATCATCTTCCATGAAATTTTTCAAGACAGTTTGCTCTGCTTTCTACCACACGTTCTAGTACATGGGGTCATGTGTGGTCTGTGCTGCTAAAGATGATGCAGATCCCTATTTCCTGTGACATCAGGGCCTCCAGTTCCAATATGACAATCTATTGTCATTGCCTAACATACTCCTCATCCAGATTGAACTAAAACTACTGTTCTTGGTATTGCAGAAAGAGCTGGAGAAGCAGAGGAGGCTGGAGAAAGAGCAGCAGCTCCAAAAAAAGGCCAGAGATCACTATGAGAAGGTCCTGCTCAGAAAGCGGGGAATGGTGCCATGGAAAAGGCTGAGGGAGCAAGCCAAGGAAAAGCTGGTGGTAGGTGCTGAGGATAACAGAAAGGACTGGTGCCACTGGAGGAAGGGAAAACGAATGGATGCAGCACTTAGCAGAAACCTTAATAGGCTCTTAAGCCAGGTAGAGATGGAAAAAGCAAAAATTCTCCCTGCACACCCTGCCCTATATTAGTTCTTTAAAGCAGCTCACCTGACAATAATCATGAAAGGTCATCAAAAACCCACAAGAGTGGCATCCTCATTTATAGCCAATTAAACAGGAACCAAAAGGACAGAGAAAGGAACAAATTTCAATCTAATGAGAAGTCACCTTTTGTTAGCCTCCTCTCATCTGCAGTACTTAGTGCCACATGATTTGATGCCGATAACACAGTGGGAGTTAGCTTAGTGTGATATAGCCAAAAAAATAAGTTAAAGTTACATTATGTGAGCCTGTCAGTTCTCTTGCTCCACAGCAAAGCTAATCAGTAAGACACCGACAAGCCACTATGTGATAGTGATTAACCTCAGCCCATCCAGAGAGGGCTTTCCCTCTCTCTGGAGTTGCTGCTGGTGCAGTGTTGGCCACTGCTGGAGGTAGGACACCACAGGTGACAATCCAGTGATCTGTTCTAGCCTGGCCCTATCTTCCATGCGGAATAGCAAGCGGTAGCTTCTGAGACCTTGACACATAACTATTGCTAATGAAACATTTCCATATCCTGAAGATTTAGCCAGAGCCCAGGGCTACGTTGGCAAGCTTCCGTTCAAGTCACTGGAACTACAGCTACTTACAAGTACTCAACCAGATGCGCCTAGGCCTCCGGCTGGGAAGGAGAGGGATAGCAGCTGCTCCAAAAGTCCACCCTGCTAGTCAGCATTATGGGCAGGGCGGGACTGAACTGTTACAGGGTATGCCTCTGCTCCATTGACAACAGGTTAAACTGAGCATCTAATTCAAAAGGAGATTGTCTAGAAGTGATGCAGCAGCAGCTTGATAGAGAAACTGGTCTTGTTCCTTGTGCTGGCCTCTCTTTGTGGGAACCTATCCTGTAAGTTATTCCAGCTATCAGACTTTGCGTTTTGGGGGCCCCAAAAAGCTGAAGTGATTTTCTAGTGTCCCCGGTTTTCTGTAGCTTTACGTTTATCTAGTCACTAGTCCAAGTAACTAGCTGCCATCTCTGCTGTCTTTACTCAGGTGGCACAAAGGCACCACTGCTTGGGCCTGCAGAGGAAATGCCTGATGATCTGGCTCCAGGACGCCCAGGGGAGCCTCATGGAGAAGGTGTCTCGGGCTCAGGACTTCTATTCCCACACATTGCTGAGATGGGGCTTCAGGAACTGGCTAAAGGTTTGCAACCACTGTGGAGAAAATACCAAGCAAGCTAGCTGCTGCCACGCTTTCCCCCCCCTGCAGTACCCCTTTGCACACCTGCAGCCCAACTTTTGCCGAATTACACTGTCCCCATTCTAGCAACATCATTCCCTTCTTCAGAGGGCTTCTTTCAGCTCTCCACTCTCTATCATTCTCCACCCAGGACGCTCTCCTACATACTGCTCCTCCACCTTTGCACACTCTCAGCCTGCTCCCTGCTGATTTTCCTCCGCTCCTGTCCCCATTACCCTTCACTGCCACAGTCTGGGCACTGCTGTGTTTCTGCTTATTGGGCTGGGGGTTGGGAGAAAGAAGCCATTCACACCTCCTTCTCTGGCCTCCTTCCCTAGTACAAGGATTATCTCTCCACTCTGGAGGAGAGAGTGAGTACCCTCCATGCAGCCTGCCTCATGAGAAAGTACTTCTGGGCGTGGTTTGATCTGATCATGGAGGAAAGAAGTACCTTATGGGAAAAGCTGAAGATTGCTACTGAACACAGTAACAAGTAAGTGCACTCCCTTGACAGCAGTTCTTTTTACTTAGGTTTATTATATCCTATAAATTATTTTAGAGACTGCTTTTGACAGGTCAATCATCTGTTCCCCAAGAACATGTGAAACAGGTTCTTTACTGCTGGTACTTTGCTTCTGTGATATGCACAGACAACATCAGCAGAGGTTTATGGTAAGAATTTTCCATGCAGCCTGAAAAAGGAAGTTCAGTGGTACCCTTCACAGCACTTTTAAATCTACTAAAGGACAATACAGTGAAAGCGGATAAGTAGCTGAAACTTTTTAAGCTGATTAGCAGATCTGGCCATGCAGCTTGTGTTAAAAGCTGCCGTAGGAGAATCTTTAAGTACAATTATAGCAAGCCAAATGATTGTGCAGGAATTACATACCGCATTGTTTGTCCAGAGCAGATGCTTTAGTTCACAAATCTAAAACTGATCAACTAGAAACCCTACTTAAGGAGTCTTTCAGTTTATGCCATCATCAGCCCGAGTTGGCAGTGAGAACTACAGCTGACAGTTCCACCAGTCATGACTGGAGCTGGACGCACCCAGTTCACTCACTGTCCCATAACTGCATTAGCTGTGCATTTTAACAGGAGGAAAAAAGCTGTTGTCAAAGTTCAGCAGAAACCAGAAGCATGCTTACCTACCTCACTGTGACAGCACGTCAGCTGCATGCAGTCATGAACAGGCTGCGCCTGCACATAGCCCAAACAGGATCTGCTGTACCTTAGAGGAAGAATTAAATTAAATTCACCTCTTATGTGGTAGAGCAAACCTGTTCTAGCTTGCTGTGTCAGTAAGCTCAGAACAGGGCACCATTTAACCCAGCAAGACAGCAAAGTGCAGGAACCAGGGAAAATTCAGATCCAGGAAGAGACTGGATCCATTCTACATGTGACCTCGTATTAGGAGCATAATCACCTGTCGTTCATTCCCTTTTCCCCACTGACTGGCAAAAGGCAGTTCAGACCTTGACAGAGCCAGGTTGCCCATATGGGAACCCAGGACAAGGCGCCTTTGGTGGGGTGATTAAAATCAGGTAAGAATTGGAGCCCAGCTGCCTGTACTCCCAAGTGGTTGGTGGAGACCACGCGAGCCTGCATTTGTTCCTGAAGAAACTGCTTTCAGAGACCCTGTTTATTCTTCAAGAAACATCATTCATCTTCAGAGTGCTAAGCAAACACCAGTTAATGAATCCTGTTAGAGGGAGGAGCGAAATTTGTGGGGGAGGGAAACAGAAGGACAATGTGTTATTTTTCCCTGGCATGATGGATGTATTAATGGAGTGCCTACAGATGTTTAACATGTCACAGCCCTGACTAGCAGCAGAAATGGCAAATCCCACATCTATTTTAGGGGAGTTCCCCCTTAAACAGAAGTCATCTTTTGATTACCTGTTACATTATACACACACCTGCATGTCCTCACTTTGTGTCCCTATTTTCTTTAAGGAGACTTGTGCTGAATGCGTTCAAGGCATGGAGGCAGTACCCATTACTGATGGAAAAGGAAAGAGAGAGAGAGGAAAGGAGAAACCAGCTACGCAGGAGAGTAGCTGAAATTCTCCCTGACTTCCAAACGTGACAGACAGAGTCAAAGGAGACTGGGAAAGGGGACAAAAAGAATGATTTTGTTCAGTGCTATCTTCCTGCTGACTGAAACGTGTCCAAGGGGAAGTCCTGTCCAGTACAAAGGGTCTTACAGCCAAAGGAAGCTTCTTGAGGTCACTGCTGTCGTAAACTAAGCATATATGGAAACTTATCTGATGGTTTCACTTTGCACTCCAGGGGATTATTCCCCACAAGATCCTCCTGGTGTGAAGTCTCCGTAGGGGTGTCTTGGCTGGTGGCAGCAAGGCTTAAGTAACCAAAGCCTAGTAGAGGGTGTATTTCAGGCCAAGACCATTTCCACACAGAGCTGCAGCACTGACAATGAATCCTCCTCCATCACAGGAAACACGGAACTGACCTGCACCTATTTTTCCTTAAGTAGTTAACGTGGTGTTTTTGTTGCCAGTGCTCTGTCAGGTCACACAGCTTGGTCAGAGAGCAGACAGACCTGACTGTCAGCTGACCCCTAACCACCACCGCGAACTTGGCCACCCAAATAACATTTTCTAGCTAACTGTGCCAGGAAAGTTGGGATGGGAGGAGAAGGAGGGAAGAGCTATTTATGCAAACCGTATTTGCTAGTGTTCCAGATCACAGCATTGCATATGGACAATTTAAAGCCTGGGTTCTTTTTCAAGGGACTGCCTAGTTTGCAGCACTGGCCAGCTCACAAGCAGCGATTCCAAGTTTATGAGATTCTATCTTCTTGTCATTTCAACATTTTCCAAGCTGTTTAACTGTAGGATTTAGCGGTGTATTGTGCAAGTCTGCCTTTTCGCTTGATCCAGCACTTAAGGAAAAAAACAAAAAAGCACCAAAACAAAACCAACAAAACAAAAAACCCCACAAAAAAATTTAAAAAAAAGTAGACTGTATTTTTACAAGAGAAACTGACATGATTAAAGTTTTTTATCACTGTTCAACCTTAACCTGCAGCTTAGTGCAGATAGGATAATGCTGTTAAGGTACTGTATGTCTTGTCTTAGCAACAGCATAAGGCAGGAATCTGGAATCACTTCCCCCTCACAACACGATAGGCAAAGTTCTCTCCAAAAGCATTTGGCAGTACAGAGAACATGTGGGTAATGCCAGGAAGAAAGCAGGTTACTGTTATCCATTGTATCGGATAATTTTTAAAACCAGTATATGCACTGAAAGTTTCCAATAAACCCAAATGTGAGATGAACACAACTGAGTTGTCAGTGCAAATTGTGTCGGAAGCCAACTGAGCGGCACGAGAGACAAGTCCAGGGTCAGGGACCTCGGCCGGCACAAGGCGCTGCGGATGACGCCGCAGAGGCCGGGTCAGGTGCCCGGGCACAGCAGCAGGCGCCAGAGCTTTTGTATGGGGAATCTGTCCCTGCAGAGCTCCCAGGGATGCAGTCAGAGAGCCTCCCTGCCCACACAAGCCAGGCTGTCAAGCCGACTCTTGGCGCAGGTCTGAAGACAAGTGTCACTCCCAGGTTACCTCCCACAGCCATTCTCTACAACACATCAACGTTTCCCGTCTCCCAGAGGCTGATGAAGACCTGACCACCAGCAGGTCAGATGAGCGTACTATCCAAGCGCAGGGAGCTGGAGGTGCCTGCGTGGAGCGTGGGCGAGTACAGACCATCTGGCTGCATTAAAAGGCAGATTGTGAGAGGAAGCGACAAGCTGGGAGAGGGCCGAATAACTCCTCTTGTGGGGAAGAGCGGGCACAGCAGAAGGGGAGACTGAGCCAAAGAGGCAGGGAGGAGCAGAACTGGGGGCTGAGCTACCAAACTAATGCCCCAGTGCAGCCAGCAGCCGCGCCTGGTGCCGACAGCAGCAAGCTGGGGCAGCGCAGCAGCAGCAATCCGCTTTCTCTTGGTAGACTCTCTCTCCCCCTGGAAGCCTCTCCCAGGTAGTGCCTAGCCAGCTCCTGGAACACCTCCATCGACCCTTATGCTCCCAGGTTACTGGTGGCCTTTTCCTAAGCTGACTTCCTCCTTACCGGGGCTCGGCAACGAACACAGCAGGGCAAGTCTCCGGCCCACCCTCCATCTGGATTCACAGCACAAGGAGGATAGTGACCCAGAGGATGAAAGGTGAGGACACATCCCTTCTCAGCTAGAAAGAAGGCAGCACTACAGCCAGCCGGAGACAGGACACACTGCAGCTGTAAGGGGAGTAGCAGGAGCATGGAGCAGAAAAGCGGATGATCCCGCATGCAGCCTGGTCTTGGCGCTAGCAACAGGCTGAGCAGGCATTGAATCTACATCTCTCTCAGCTGAAAGGGTGCCCCAAACCACTGGCTACTCATCCAGTTTACTGAACTGCAGATTCTTTCCCCAGCAATGCCACACTTGCACATTTTGCCCTCAAAGCCTGCAGCTCCCACTCACCATCCGTGAAAATAATGCTGCTTACGTGGAGCATAACTCCCCTCAAAGAACTTGAGGTACAGTCAACACTTACTTTTGAAACTGGCCTTCGTCTCCAATACTCTCACCTTCTAGTGTTTTCTTCTATTATTAGTAGCTTTGAAAAGGATTCTCCTGGTAAGATGCTCTTTGGCTGGACAGTTCCAGCAGCAAGGCAGCAAACTAAGATCCAGGAGCTGTGCTTTGACATGCCTTTGCCCTTGATACTGGCAATTCAGTGCTAGGCCAGAGCTGAAGCCTCAGCTGGATGCAGCTGAGGGATAGGGATGATGTGCAGGCATCAGGCCCATTCATACCGAATATGATCTGAATCAAAGGGGAGATGAGTGGCCCCTTGACTTCTGCATTCAATCCACAGTTGGCTGAAACAACTCGTACCTCCTTGGCAGAAGCAAGGCTGTGCTTGATGGTGCTGTTGAGAGACTGCACAGGACACCCCCAAAATGCCTGGCATGATGTTAGTGTTCTGCAAATTAGAGCTCCAGCAAATGTTTCCCAGCAGGAGGGTGACACACGAGAGAGCTTGTTAGAGCAAGGAAACAGCTTCCTCAGTTTGCAGCTGTGCCAGAGCATGCCTCCTGCTCCAGCCCATGCTTAGATGCAGATGTCAATGCCTTAATGCTGGTCATCATCAGCCCACACTCTCACAGCTCAGGCACACTCCTGCCTGTCAGCTCCTTGCTTTTCTTAGCAAGAGAGGGAGGTGGCTGCACAGCCAGATTTTCCTTCTCCTTCACATGGAACAGGGGGAGGATTTTCACTTTGGTACAGCAGCAAATGCAGAACCCCAAAGTGATTGCAAACTCCCCTTCTCCCCAACCCCATCCCCTCCCAACACCTGCCCTCTGGAGCTCTTACTCGTTTTCCCAAAAAACCTCGACCACAGAAATACCTTCTTCTCAGTAAATCTGTACACCAGTCTCTTCAAAGTCTCCCAGGACCAGCTCAAACTGGATCCGAAACATTGCCTGAAGTATTGAACAATTTCCTCTGCTCCTCCCAAAGACGACTGTAGCTGGGGACAGTCATCAGACTGGGAAGGGTCCATGAACCACTGCACTCTGATCCGCAGCTCACGTCTTCGCAGACCTGTTGCCCATCACGGATACCAGCCGCAGTAGCACACCTTGGCCTTCCCCAGCATGTGAGCTGCCACTCCAGACATGCTCCTGCTGTGCAGGGGAAACACGGCAAGTCAAGAAGGGGAAAAATAAAAGCTGGGGAGAGACAGTAGTGTCATGTATCCCTGTCATCAGCATTGGAATTAATGAAGCCGGTGGCTGCTGGGGTGTCAGCAGCAGGACACCCTTCTGCACGCACCACTCTCACCCAACTACAAACGTGGTTCACTGCTACTGCAAGGACTGTGTTGTCAGCAAGTGCAAAGTAATCTTCAAAGAGAAACAGCTGAGCGGCAGACAGAAGTGCCGCAAGGCAACTCAAAGCAGAGCTCTGGGAACAAAAGGCACCTATGATTCTACTCATTAAAAGTCATCTTGCCTTTCAACAGATGTCCCAAGATACCAACAGAATCAAAGGCTACATCTCTTCCCACTATCTGCACAGAGATTATCCACATCATTTCCAAACTATGGCTTAGAAGAGGGCTTAAAGAGATTGTTCCTTTTTGGGATTCTGGATGTATTGTGTGGGCAGGTGTAAGAGGGAAATCAAGACACTAGACAAGAAGGCTAGGAACCTGATCGGACACTGATGATGGACTTGCTCACTGGATGCAAGGTCCTGGTTCAAATCCCCACTGCAGGGGAATATCCCTGGTTTCCAGGGTGGTGAGGACTATCAGCAGGTCTCTATTTCATCCCAACACCAACAAACCCAAAAGTCAACTTTTGCAGAACCAGAAGAACACTTGATTCCTAGCTTCTCCTTAGCCTGTTGCTTCCTTGCTCCCAAGTCCAGCTCACAGCTAAATAGCCATGAGACGATGGCAGCTTTTGGTCATTTGACCTGGCTGAGTGCATTGGCATAAATCAACAGGCCACTCCACAGATCACTTCTAATAATTTATTTTGATTCATAATTGCATCCATTTGGAAACACCGAATATGATGCAAAATGGACACAAACACACATACCCCCCCAGTCCTTTCAACAAAGCTCACAAATATGTTTCACAAAGTTTCTCCCTGAAACTTAGGGTGGAAAAACAAAAAAAAAAAACACAAACAAACCAAAAACCCACCCCAGTCTCCAAGGTAGACAGTTATTCCAGAGCCCATCATTCTTCACATTATCATTAGAGGAGTTCCATAAAGATGGTATCTTGGGAGGCTGAATTCCCACATTTCAGAAAGAACCTCACCTGTCCGCAGAAAGAGTTTTGCTGTACAAACATCCTGGTAGTGGAACAAAATCCTAGGAAACTGTAGTGTTCTTCACCGAAAGCAATACAGGAAAACACATCCATAATCACACATGCTTCCTGCCCTAATGAAGCAATATACGTTCATATAGAAGGAAAAAAACAAGCACATTATTAAGACATTAGGCAGTGAGGCATTATCCATTTTATCTTCCGAAATTTGACAGCAAATGGTTTCATTAAGACACTTGAAAGCAACCTGCTTTGAAGGGAAAAAAAAAAAAAAAAAAAAAAAAAGCACCACCATAGCACAAAGGCTGAAATGTGATTAGGAGTCACAAGCAGCGCCAGCTCAGGCTCACCAGTGACTTTTGTCATTTGAGGACAAGTTAAATGGAGAAACAGTTGATGTGGGGAACTGTGACTTGCCTACAAAAACGTATGATGTAAGAAGACATAGTTAGGAGTGCCAAGCTGCCATTTACAGGGTGTATCTAATGGTGCACAGTTGTTAGCATAGTCACCAAACAGTAGGGTGTTGGCATCTGGACACAGCGAGTTTAACAATACAACAGCAGCAACATCAGAACCCTGGCCTGCAGAAGTCCATGCTATTTGTGAAATAAAAATATGCCTCTTAAAAGGTGAAGGTTAAAGCAGGATAAACTAATTTCCAAGTCCGAGCAGAGAAACATCAAGGCCAGCTGTTACCAAAATCCCTCCCTGCTTCTGACCAGCTCTGGGTCCTCTCTTCTCACACAGGGAAAACTTTTCAAGGGCCAGCAGGGCACTGTTTTCTGTGCTGCCAGGTACGTGCACACCGTGTAACAGGTGAGACACTGGTCTGTGCCTCAAGGCTGCACACACCACCCACAAGTCAGCTGTCAAATGCAGCCCGTTCCCACACCCAGGCAGTGTGGATCTAGGCGGCCACTAACAGCGAGCCTGGGGACTGATTCTTTGTGCCTTGGTTCTAACATTTTTCTACCAGTGCGGCCAACAAGCTCAGCAAGAAAACACTCAGAAAAGAAGTTGTCCTTTAGTGCACAAGACATCACAACAGACTGCTCTGGCTATAAGCACAAAAGGAGCATTACCCTTCAAAGGCTTCTTGCTAATTCTCAGGGATATTAAAGGGATATTAAAAGGAGAGCTCCAAAGTAGGCATCTGAAGCTCCCAACTCTTCCACCCTTTTAGATATCCTGTTACTTCATGTTTCTCATCTCCCAAGGCATTCACAAGGTAAATCCTCTCAGGAAGAAGCCAGGATGGTAAACAGAAAACATGTCCTTAAAGAAGGTCACCATTGCTATGCAGATTACAGCCACTTGAACTTCCTATTCACTGGGGAATCAGCACTACATTCTCCTCCTAAAGAAACCCAGCCTTGCAACCCTTTTAGTGTCCTGAATGGTTCCAGTTCCCTCTGGAGTGAGTGCAAAAATAAAATTTACTTCAGCACTTTACACCCGCTACACTGGAGCGAGCTTGACCAAGATATGAAGTGATTACATCAGTCCAATGTCTTTTGTTCCTAATCTGCACTCCAAAATCCACGCTGCCTGGGAGAACACCCCAGAAAGTCTCAGTGTAAGCAGTTCACACAAAATCTCCCACACCAGAGCTCACTAAGAGACACGGGACAAGGCTACACTGACAGACAGGCTGCAAAGTAGTAATTAATCTCTGCCTGTGGGAGAAAGTGAGCACAACAGGGTCAGGCACTGCCAGGGAAATGATCTGCGATCTGCTCTGCTTTCTCCCAGCCAGGAGTAGCGGGACTCAGAAACCACTTATCTCAAACCTGCTAAGCACTCAGAGCTCCTTCAGCTCACGAGCGCATGATTGATTTTGCACATGGAGCTCACAGGCACAGAGAGGTTGGCTACCTCCACTGCAGGGGCTCATTTAGCCCAGAAGGTCATTCTGCCTTAATCTTCCTAAGCGCCAGCAGGACGAGATCTGGGAAGATCACAAACCTGCTAGCCCACAGCATCCTCATCTCCAGGGTTGCCAAGCTCCAGTTCATCTCAGCAGGCACCACAAAACGCATATGTGCCATGGAAACATTTACAGACAACTCATGTGGAGGCAAGGTCTTTATGTGAATTTAAACTCCTAGGGTCAGGCTCCAAGCTCCAGTCAGAAGGTCACAGAGGAACAATTAGCACAGCCCAGCTGGGTGCCTGTGGTCAGAAACCTCTGAGTGTGTTTGGCTAGAGGCAGAAAGCAAGAGCGGAGTCCCCTTTACCTCCTTATAAAGGGCTGCTCACTGGATGAAAAGGGGTAAGAGGAAATAAGGAATACTCAGTAACTCTTTCTGCACAGCCACATTCCAAGTGCAGCTGCTCCTCAATTATCTGCTGCTTATAGAAAGTGCCACTTGAGGAAACTAAACAGTGCAAAGAGGGACATGGTCTTCACCTTAAAGTAGGACATGCAGTCAGGAGCACACACTCCGAATACAGCAGGGATCTCAAGGGACATCCCTAACTCTGCTACCTTGTGGCACCACACGCCATCCATTCGTTCTTCAGAGACAGTGCACGGCAGTGCACACTGCATTTGCATCACTCGGCCAACATCCCCCAGCTGCCTGCTACAGAAGCAGTGTCAGGGGTTGGTATGATCTATGCACACTGCACACACATCTAATCATCAGTAGATACGACAAGGCTCTTCCCCCTCCTCCTGCATCTCAGGCCCAACCCAAAACCCTTGTGCCATGGTCCCAGGCTCTTCCAGCCAGACCTTTCGTATTATTGCAGGGCCAAACACTAAGGATTTATAAAACAAAAAGCAACAAAAAATACCCCACCCACAGAAAGCAGAAACCATCACCACCAAAACCTTGTGATTTCCGCTGAAGCTCAAGTCCAGGCAATAATACAGTTGCAGGCTGATGAGGAACAAGTGGCATTCTTGCAGAGCACATTTAATACATCCATTCACCGGCCAGTGCAGGTCATCTATCCCCAAACCAGACAGCTCTAACACATCCTCTCCCTACATATGCAAAAACTAAACTGTCCCTTGACTTCCTGGCTTCAGAAAAATCGATCTACAGTCAGGCAGCTCCACCGTGACCGGGTTGGGAGGAGATAGGATCACTATGTTATTAGCAACACAACCAACAAAGATGATACCTCCCAAAAGTGCTGCTCTTCAAATTGTCTACTCTGCCACAGACTCCTTCCTCCCACAGAGGGAAGGAAGAAAGGTGGTTTCCATAAAGCTACAGTAACACCAGACAGCACTCCTATTTTTCCCTCACAGTCCACTGTTACATGTTGCTTCAAAGCATCTCCTTATTTGGTATATTTACCTGCTGTCTCACGTCACAGTCCGTAATCAGAGCAGAAACACTTTGAGGGACATGAGCCAAGCCTTCAAACCAACACAGTCCCAGCTCACAGAAAGAACAATGAGATTGAAGTCTTCTCACCCCATCAGACAGATGGGGATGGAATAACAACTGTAGGGATCAAGAGGCCAAGGGATCTTAAATCCCTACAGGAATGCTGTTCACAAAGGCACTTAATACAAGCACGTATACAGCAGGATGGAATAGAAGATAGAAAAAAATAAATAAATACACCAGAGAGGAGGGAGCTGCTCAGTGACTGCCTAGACAGTCCCTTTTAGACAAAGAGCCTGGCTTCTGTGGTGGTCCATCTGTTACCCGCATTAAAAGTTCATCCTCCTGACATCTCTGAAATGTCGCACGCAGGTATGAGCCAGGGATTCCTTAACCTCTGCAGGAATCAGTGCACGCTCTGAAGTCCAGCAGCGGGTTCCTCTTTATGTCAGGATTCACCCCTAACAAAAACTCAAGTTCTCAAAACCTTGTGCTCTTCTTCCTGCTGAGCTGAGCTGCACAAAGCTTCCCACAGTGGAAAAAGGCAGCAGGCTCCTTCTCTCCAGGTTTGTGCATATGGCTTACTGTTTTCTGCATCCTATTGCTGGCTGACAGCACGAGAAGAACCATTCTGCCCGGGAAAGCCTCTGATGTTGTCGGTGATGGGATAAGCAGTCCGTACACCGACCGCGAAGGAAGGGTGTGGGAGGAAGGAGTCCTAGTGGAGGGGGCCGTTCCCCCGCTAAAGAAAGTCAGTCAACGTCATCTGCAGAAAGAGGGGTGTCACACGATGTCTTCAGCAGAGCGCTGTGGAGGAGAAGACCCCAGGCTCAAGAAATGGCCCCAGTTGCATAGGAAACCCCTGTTATACTGGCCAGTGTCTATCACTAACCCACCCAGGAGCCTGCGCCCAGTGTTGTCCCGCAGAGCCAGCCGAGCTTCCCTCTCAGTCACGTTGTAGCTGATGTTCAACAGCTGGATAAGGAGGATGTATCCCATGCCAGCTGTTACAATGGCACAGTACCACACACAGGTGAACGACAGAGCAGAGCTGGCAGCAGGGAAAAAGATGGGAAGGAAGCCATTTAGTTTTGGAGCAGCTGCTTTGGAGTGACTTTCCCCGGTAATCACTATCTTTTCAAATCCCTGTCTACATCTGCCACAGTGATCTCACTTTGCTGCTTTCACCAGATAATCCTTCAAGGCTTTCTCAAAATTAAATCTTCAGGGCTTACTTAATGAGAGCTTTTAGCACTACCAGAGCTACCCCTGCACATTGCTATCGCACTGCCTAGCTCTTTACTCTTACTGTTGTAAAGGTACTCGGTCCTTATTTAACTACACAACGGTGCTAACACTCTACAGATCATGAAATGGAGTACGGAAGAAGGTCGAGTCACTTGTGCTAGTGCACTCTGCCCATCAGTGGTAGCGCCAGTCTCTAAAATCGTGTCCAACACTTCTTGCCACCCTCCCTGCCAGACGAGGCATATTAACACTGTCTGTTCTAAACTGATAACTCAGAGGGACAGTCACTAGATAAAGAGTGAGGGAAGAGAGAGACAGCACACAGATTCCAGACTGTCAGACTGTTACCTGCATCTGGGTGCAAGCATATTTAAGGGTATATCTAAATAGGACACAATAAAGACTTCAAATCCCAGCTCCTCCAACAACTTTTTCCAAATAAACGGTGAACTCTGCCCGAGTCTCAAGCTCCCTACCTTGGCAAAAGCCGTTATGTATCCCTGCTTTCCAGAGCTTATTAGGGAGCACTTTTTGGTCAGGTTTGTCAGCCAACAGCACTGGCCTAGAGCACAGAATGAAGAACAAGAGCTAAGCTGCCTGACCAAGCCCGTGTCCACCCCAGCTCTCTCCCAGCCAGATGTCTCACCTGTAGTCAGAGTAGGCTCCGGGGCAGTAGAACAATGCCACAAATGGAGTTCGGCCCCTACAGACAGTGTGCAGGGTCAACGTAATCCCATACACAGAGGTGAGCATGAAGAAGGAGAGTGCAAGGATGAACGCGTGGTGGTTCTGCTCCCCTACACAGCTGTTAATCCTACAAAAGGAAAGAAGAGATTACTTTGCTTGAAAAGAAAAGAAGCTGGCTTCTCTCTCCTCTTCCCTCCCCCAGCTGTCAAAGAACCTCATTTCCAAGGTGCTTATATACAACACAGGTTAAGAACCCAGAAACAGTTCAGAGAAGCTTTATAGCTTTTTATAGAGAGGTTATAGGCACAAATCAATAGACCAGTAGGGTAACAGTGGTAGACCATTTGCCTCAAACTTTTAGCAAGTGTTGCATCCTTTGCTGAGATCCTTCTATAGTCTATACCCTACTGCTCCTTGGTTCCAGTATTACATGCGCACACAGGCAGGTCTGGGCTTCCATTCCTGGGAGAGTACTAATGCAAGTTAACTGCAGGATTGCTAGTGCTCCACGGACCAAAAAGTTGTAAGGAAAAATAAAATAAAAATAAAAAAAAAAAGACCACAACCCAGATGAAAACCAGTAGAGAACCAAAGGCAATTCTGAAATACACTATAGAAGTTACCAACTATCAGGTCAACTCACAATAAACAAAGTTATTTAAATTGGGCTTTAAAACGGTAAATTTGTATTTACCGTTTTAAAGCACGTCACCAGATCTTGCACATAACAAAAGCAACCCCGTTCAAGAGGGACTGTAAAAAAAAAGAAGCTAACTTAAAAAGGGGGGGGGGGGGGGGGGGGGGCAGGAAGACAGAGGGAGAGAGAGAACACACACGTAACCTCAGCAGTGCAAAACCTACCAGACACAGTGATGGTCCAGTCTCCTTACACACCTGCCGCAGAGCCGGCAGTGCCCTGCTCGGGCTGGCCTGACCAGCTGGCATTTAGTGCACCAGTCCTTTTTCACACCCTCTGGCTCCTCGGCTGACATCCTGGAATAGCCTTTGGTCTCCCCATTCACAGCACGGCCGCTGGCAGCTCCTGAGGTGGAGACGCCATGGAGCCCGTTGGAGCTCCCTCGAACGCTCTTGCTGAGCAAACCCTGGTGCGATGACCGCTGGTCGCTCGCTGGGAGGGGAAGGTAGCCAGGGTCCTTCTTGGCTCGGGACAGGGCTGCAAGCATAAGGATTAACCCGCCGGTGAGAGCGACCACTTGGGAATGCCCCACATGGCCTCGGGGAACCACCTCCTGGAGAAACACGTAGTACATGTAGCCCAAGGAGAAGAGCCCCAGGCTCAGGAAGAAGAGGGTCCGCTCCTTCCTCCTGTGGGTGAGGTAGTAATACCAGAGCACCACCACGGGCAGAGACGTCAAGATGACGAGCCCCAGCAGGAAGTGCAGGGCGGCAACGTGGAGGAAGACCGGCAGCAGCACGAGAGGCGGCACGAGGCTGACGTTGATCCTCACGGCCCCTGCGAACCAGGGGACCCGCACCCGGTCCGCGACGCTGTCGGCAATTCTCTCCAGAGCTCCCGGGGGCAGAGGTCGGCACGTCAGCCACCTGTCAGGGGGGGAAGCCCAGGCGCCGGCTAGCAGGCGGGCAGCCGCCCGCCCCGGGCCCTTCCCCTGCCTCGTCCCGCTCCGGCCGCCGGCCCCCGCCCGCCTCCCCCCCCCCCCACCTTCCCTTCTCTCCCCCGCCAAGTTTCCCGAGAGGAAGCGGCACGCAGCTCCCCTCAGGGCGGCAGCCCCCGCCAGTCGAGGGGACCGCCAGAGCCCCCCGTGGGCGGCCTCTGGGCTGGGGTCGCGGAGCCGTTACCTCTCGCAGCCCTCGTCCAGGTCCTGGCAGTCGCAGCAGCACGCCGCCAGGTGGTTCCTCTCGCCCCTCCGGTCCACGTACTCGCAGCAGCAGAGGGGTTCCTCCATCCCCGCGACCCTCCCTCAGCCGCTGCTGCCGCCGCCGGGCCGGGGCTCGCACAGCGGCAGCGCCGCCACCGCGCCGCCCCGCCCCGCCCCCCCCACCGCCCTCAGCCGCAGGTGCCTCGCGCCCGCCACCGCCTCCTCCAGAGGCCCCGCCCCTTTCGGCAAAGCCCGGCCGCCATTGGCCGCCCGCGCCGCCGGCACCACCCCCCGGCGGAGGTGTGCGGGGGGGAGGGGGGTGAGGGACAAACACACACACACACACACACCCCCCCCGCCGCCCCGAGCCCATCCACCTGACGGCGGAATGGCCCAATGCCTGCCCGGGTGGGGCGGGGCCGGCCGTGACGCGGCGGCACCTGGCTTAAAGGGCCAGCGCAACAGGTGGCGCCCCCGGGGTCCCGCCGCGGGGTCCCGCCGCCGGGGGACAGGCCCCGACCCTGCCCCACCTGCGGACGGGGGAGACGAGACGGGGGGAGCTTTGCTGCTCCCCGGGGTTGGACACGCACAGCTGGGGAAGTTTCCCACCGCCCCTGGGTAAGCCTAGCCCACGCAGGGTTTTGCCCCAGGCCCCCCCACTCTGGGACTCGAGCACCCCCAACACGCACGCCCTAACCCGCCCTGGGGTGCAGGGAGTGGAGCTCAGCTGTTTGGACAGACAGAGCACCACTCCAGCCAGCACCGACCTACAACCCCCGCCTGAGCCCAGAGGGATGGTGCCGTTTCCCTCGCTTTTAATTTCCATCTTCCTTCTCTCGACCTGCTTAGAAAAACGCTTGAAGACAGAAGAAAAGGTGTTTCATCATCAGTGGGCACACCACGCTGAAGCACTGAAGAGCAGCCCTCGATGGAGGGAAAATACCAAGGGCTGAAATTTCTCTGGGAGAGCTAGAAACATATGGCAGAAGGCAGACTGCCAAAGCACAGAGTATGCAATAGATTTAGCAAAGAGGTATCAAGCATTTTCCTGTTTAGTTAATTAATCTTAAAAATATTCATCCTTAAAAGATGGTGACTTATTTTACAAGGTCCCCATGACTAAAAAAAGCATATAAAGATCCTGTGGCTGTGAAACCACTACCTGTTCTTTTTCTCCAAAACACTCTTCACTGGCAGTCATTTTTTGAGTCGACATAAGAAGCTCCAATTTCATTAAAGACAAGCCCAGCTCTCCGCTGAGGGTGTTCTCCCCTCCTCCAAAATTTGCAGATCCATTAGCCAGCAGTACAGCTGCCCTGGCTCACTCACCATGGGATTTGAAAGCTCTGCACTGTTTGTAAGCGAGACTTCCCCCGATACCGGGCTGGCAGGAGACAGATCACCAGGCTATGGGAATGCGGAACCCAACTTACTTCTTCCAGAAACCTTTATTCCAGGCAGCTTTTGAGCCAAATAGTAACAAGTCCAAAGGTGACAGTTGCAATCCCTACCCCACAAGTCCTCACACACACATCTGGTTCTTCCACCATCTTGAACGGAAACCTGATGTGGGTATTAACTCTCAGTCTTGCTGCTCTGTGTCCTGTTCAAGTGGTCAAAGCTTCTTTGGAGCATGGAAAGGGAGATCTTTAGCTGTGAAGATACAACCATCACATTCCCTCAATTACTTAAGTTAGTCGTCTGCATGGATGAGCAATATCAGGAAAATAACGTCTCCCTCCTCCTTTTCTTTTAAATATTTCATGCAATTTCCTCCTCTCTGTTTCTATAAACAGCTGTCTTACTGTGCTGTCCTAACAGCTATGCTCTGTACAGTTTATAATTACTGACAGCCCAGTAAGATAAAGTCTTAACACCTTGCCAGACGACAGTGTGGAAGATAAGCCACCCCACTCGTTTTTAGTCACAGTTAATGTTCACAGCAAATACTCCAAGGAACATGGCAGCAAAGCATGAATTTTCTTTTAATACCTGGCCCACCCAGTACATTTTGGTGCACAAAATGCATTTAGATTATTGACAACCCTTAGAAAATGCAAGGTAACAGGCACAAAGATGTGTCATGACTTCTAGACAAGTGTTATTTGGGATGAAAAAGGTGGTTGAATCCTCACCTTTTTTTTTTTTTTAGTTGTTGGTTTGTTTTCAGGTTTTTTTTTTGTGTACTCTGGGTGTTCAAAAGAAGTTTAACACTTCAGAATTGGAAATTGTTTGGGTAGTAAGCAGAGAAAATTAAAAGGGCATGGAAAACAGGAAATTAGTTTCTACAGTGAAATTACCAGCAACTCAGCAGCTTGTTTAAATTGTGATCAAAATGGTTAAGAGATTAATAGCAATTTTGTGTGCAGAGACACCTCTGAACAAGCAATATAAAAAATGGCTTCTTTTTCTACTCTTCTTTAGTGCGTGGGAGAACACAGAGCAAACTGGTGATGGATAGAGGTATATGTGAACTCCCCCACAGCCTTCCTAATCTAATAATTTCTTCTGTCACATTTTAAGGTTTAATAAAATAACTTAAAATCAGAACATTCATAGGTTATAAGTAAAAAACATAGTATGAATTTACTGTCCTTCATTTACCGAGTTGAAATTTCAGCCTAGGGGTTTACCAGTCCTCAACTTCAGAATTAGAAAGACAAAACAACATTCAACAACTTTATTTTTTTTAATATAGTGTTTGTAGTATATAAGAGCCTGGAAGTGTAAATTACTGAAAAGGAGGATTAACACCATATCTATGGAGCCTCTCAGAAACATATGGTCTGTAGAATTTATTTTTCACTGGAGATCAGGTGGCCCATTGATACCAAGACTAAGTGAAGCTCTCACCAATATGTAGAAGAGTAGTGGGAAGCAAAAGCCAGGATACACCTGAATGATGAAATCCCATAATGAGGTGGGCAAATACTTAACATTATGTTTTGAGTCTTCTTGGAAAATAGGATCTGTTTTTAATTACTCCAGTCTTTGCTTGGTCATGATTCAGAACTGCATCAACACGTTCATCAATAAAGGTACTTGACAGGTTTAAGGAAGTTGACATGAATATTTAATCTTAGTCTAAAAGAAAAAAAGAGCCCCCAGCCAAAACATGAGCAACACGAGCACTGCCTAGATAACAAATTCAAGCCTAGGACAAAACAGGTCAAGGAGTCATGAAAACTTTAGTTTGCACCAGAAGACATAAAACAAAAACTGTGACAGTGTAAGGGAGAAAACCTGAGTTGCTGAGAAACAAGAATATCACCAGGAAAGACTGGCAGACCTACCTGCTCAAGCATTTCAATTGAGTCTCTTAAAACTCCCTTCACATGCTTAACCTGTTCCTTATCATACTGAGGGATCTCTTCTTTTGATACCATTTCTGGGGATATGCTGAAAGAAATTGAGATCCCATCAGAAACATGAAGCAAGCACCTTCAATGCCTTTCTAAAAGCAACTACTCTCTGCCACCATCGCTCTGCCACTGCTAAAAGCATCTTTTTCCAAAAGCCACATAAAAAGCTGCCTGCAGTTGAATTTCAGTCCCTGTTGCCTTGAAGATACTATCTCAGACCTTTGTAGACAACAGCCACCAAGAACAAATGTGCTTGTGTTATATCTACAATGTAAGTTCTCACACTTCAGAGGGCAAGATCTTTCTTATGAAGGTTACCACACCACTTCCATACTCAAGATCAAGTTATGGTTTAACTTGTTGCTGATACCATATTCAAGAGAGGAAGCAACATCCGAGCCTCTTCATGTGTCTGAATACAAAAGGCTCCTAAAACGGAAGTTTGAGGGGGAGAGGAGATTTCGCAGGAGACTCACAGAAAGGCTAAAAAGCTAAATGAATCTTTAACATTACATTTGAGATCATGCTGGTTCACACAGGATGAAGTGAACGCTCTGATTCTGTGATCAGCACTATGATATTCACAGAAGATGAGTCACAGCAGGGTGATAAATGCAAGTTAAGGTTAACACTCCCCCAAAAAACAGCTTGTCAAAGGAGAAATTTATTACTGCAAGATGCAGTCAGACATGTCACTAGATACCAGCATAGACCACAGAAGAGCAGCAAGCCCCAGCAGCTTTTGAAAACTTAACATTGAGTTTCATTGTTCAAAATATATTTCTTTAGATCAGATTCTCACATAAGCTGATGAAGAAAGAAATCAAATATTGTAAATTCAACTTACTTCAAAGAGCTTTCTTCCTGAAGTTGGACATGATAGAGGGACTGAGCTGCATGCTCTATCTTTGACAGTTTGAGAAACAGTGTTATATTCAGCAAGACCAAGAGCAGCAAACTGTAGAGAGAAGAGAACAGAAATCAAATCCTGTAACAATTACAGTTGTAATGCTACAGAAAGAAGATCTGGGCTACAAACAGCAAAGAGAATCCTTCTGGGCGAAGAAAATGCATGGGGCAACATTATACTGAATATAAAGATCTATTCAAACAATTCTTAGCAGTTAGCATTAAGCTGCGTAATAGCAACCAATAGGAATGACAACAGTGTCTCCTTTTGGAACTTTTAAAACTAGGAATGGGTAAATTCTAGACCTTTTTTTTTATAGGATCAGACCTAAGTAAACCTGCAAGGTAGACTAGTTTGGCAAGTCATCATTTTCATTCCATGCATCGCTTCAGTCAATCCATTCCCCTCCTATACCTGAGTGCTCCATTCAAATTAGGTTAGAATCTGTCATGCTACATGAAACGTTAGCATGCAAGTGAGGTACAGACGAATACAGATAAAGACCAAGATGAGCTTGAGTCAAGACACATTTTAATGCAAATGAGTACTTACAAGACACTCATTGCTACAATGATGGTGGTAGTCCTACTTACAGCATCTCTTTTCCTTCCTATAGGGCATGGAAGAGAAGGAGGTTAAAAAGTACTGAAGAACATTCCTAAAGGATGCCTGTAGATACATGTCAGTGCCCAGCATTTCACACAGAATAGCTCAACAGCTTCTGATGGAAAAAAATAACAGATCACGTGGGTGCACAGGATCATCTCCAACATTCACTAAGGCATTTTTGCAGTCATCTCAGACAAGTCAGCTGGTCAGTCGGACTCTTCCATCAGGAGCATGATTCTACCAGTATGCTGGGGAGCACACAGTGCTGGGACATGTTCACATTAAACCTAGATAACCCGAGAAAGTTACAGTCCATCCATTACTAACACTCATTCAGCACATAAGCTGCTAGTCACACATGAGCAGAGTACAGGCTGAAAAGCGGATTTTCTCCTGCCCACATTAGTCTTTCTGACCACCACCGTCAAATCAAGTTCTCCTGTGACTTGTCCTATCCTTACTGGCTTGGTTTATATATCGGCCTGAAGACACTTTCAAAAGAGCATCTGCTAGTCGTCAGGCAACAGGGACCAGACACAAGTGAGGGAGAGGAAGTGTGCATGTCCTCCAAACGGCACAGCAATCACCTACCGCTGTGGCCAGGCTGACCTTTACATACAATTACATGTTCTCCTGAAAGAGTCCCTTACATTCAGGTTTCCTGCCCTGGACAAAGGGCAGACATGAAAGCTGTAGTGTATACCGAGACAGACACACTCACCTGAAAATGTGGAGCAGCAGTAGCAAAGTTAAGTGACCAGGAAGTAATCTCAGTTAGGTAAAGAGTCCATTACACATGCTGTTGATCCAAGCATTCTCTCAGTGCTATACTCAGTGTTGCCTCCCCCTTTAGGAAAGAGCACTTTCTCCTATTTCAGTGTTTACAATTCAACCTGTGTCACGAAATCCACCATTCTCTGGTACACATTAGTGCACATATGTTCCTCACCTCAGCAGGTGTAGCTAATGTTGTATATGCTAGTGGCCAAGTCTATCATGCCTACAGGCAGTGGAAATGCAAGAAACACTTCGGTGACTCAGAAGTTACAGAAACGCATGGGAAAGCATGGACTCCTTAACATAAAAAAGTATATTAAAAAAATTAGATGACAGGGCCAAGAAGTGAGTGACAAATTTTAATCAGCTCATGACTTGGGTATGCAGTTATTTGAAGAAATAAAGCAATTTTTCAGCAACTTTACAGAAGTCTGGTTAAATTTCCTTCTGATCCCATCTCATTTTCAATCCTATGCAGCATTTTAGGTTCTGTTTGGGTTTTGTTTGAAAAACGTAAGGTGAGATTAGGTTTGATTTCATGAGATAATCATCATAAAAGTGACCATGCATGCTCCAAATCTATTTTATGCAAGCTTGAACACACTAAAGAATTTGCCACACACCAATTAGATAAAAACAACGAGAGTAAACATACATGCAAGTATTACACTTGCACTAGTTTAAGAGTTAAGCTTTCTTGAACACACCTTTTGGAAAACACTTGATGTAAAGATTCCTACCTATTATGCTGCCCTGGGACTCTATTCCCATGTCACCAGAGGAGTGTTGGGAAGAACGTTTGGGAAGTGATTCTGCCAGACTCCGGTGTAAAGTGCGTCGTCTTCGTCTCAGGGCAACTAATTTTCCAGAGTCTTCTATGGACTGATTAATTGCATATTCCTCCATTAGGAGATCTGATTCTGCAGTGGAAAAAATAAGGTTACTGAACTTTCAAAAGAAAAGCTGAAAAGCCTGGCACTGAAGGCTTAAATTGAGATGTGGAGGGTGGCAGCAAGAGGAATAAGCACACCTTCTAGTAAATGAACTTAAAGCAGGTAATTGACATAAACTACACCTTGACCTGTACTACCTATCCTATTTACTAGAGGGCACTTCATACACTTTTCAGATATGGTGTACATTCAGCCTAGGCAGGATTGTTTAATGAAACGTTAGACAACAGTTGGAGGAGCGCTTCAAGACACTGTTAGACTGAGACTAGGAATTGTGTTAGACCGTGAGCCTGCAGCCGTGGCTGGCCAGGCTGTTAACAGACATAGGCAGGGAGCCTGCCAAGTGCCCCTGCTTCTCTTCTCATACCCACAATCAAGGAAATACTTAAAAGATAAGCACACGCAGTTGAGAGTAACAGCTTTCCTGCTGCTCCTCATGTTTCCTTCAGAAAGCAATTATGACAAAGTACACAAGAGCTCCATTAGCACTAAGCTACAAGGCTTCTTCCTCACCCTATAACTGGCAGATCTATTGATGACAAAAACTTCTGACTTCAAGATTCCTTTGGTGTTTCCTTCTTTTCAAGCAATTGTTTAAAGGAATCGAGTTTGACAGATGTGAAAACATACATAGGAAAGGTCACCTCCTTACTCCAGCAAAGAAGAAAACGCCTCACCAAGTTGTTTGAAGTTTTCCTGTATTCCTCCCCAGGTATTCTTCTCGATTACAGATTTGACAAGGCCCCAAGGCTGTTTCTTGTACTTCACTTCTGCAGAAACCCTAATAAACAGAATTCAATAATGAAAGAGTGCTCTTCTAGGTAGCACAGTGATAGCAGAAATATCTTATGAGAAGCAGGTCTCTAGCTTATGTCCATAATCTGAAATATCAACTGGAACTGCCTTGGCTTTCCACCTGGGCAGCACTTACACTGAAGCAAGGCAAGAGACAGACAGTAGCAAATACAACATATCTAGCTAAAGCCTCAGGAGATCTGAATGTTCAAATTATGGGAAACATTTTCAAGTGTTTTCCTTCAGACTCGCATAGAATTTCTCTCCTCTGAAGTGTTCTCATTTTAACCTACATTTAAAATAGGCTTAAGGCTTTCAGATCATAAAGTCCTGCTTTTTCCTCTGTATGTGTTTACCTGATCTATTACATGGGGGCTGCAGTGGCAGCAGATGAAATTCATTATCACCACTCATGCACCAAGTGCTTAGATCCTACCCTGAAAAGACAGAAATTAAAATCTGTCTTTCTGTGAGCATGACAGAAGGGAAGTGACATTCCTTCCTTCCCTTCCCTAGGTCAAGTTAATCAATAATGCTTCCAAGAAGAGAAATAAATTGGAGCAGAATCCTTCAGAGGGCTGCTTTTAACAACTGAATGAATCCCAAAGCTCTTCATAAAGGACAAAAGGATAGCCTGTGATCTTGGTTTAAGTGAAAAACACTGACCATCCCAGAACACGCTTTTTTTTTTCGACATTATCAAATAGTCACCCAAATCAATGCAAGCCCACTGTGTTTCTATTCTAATAGAACAGCAACTTTCAAATGGTTTTAAAGCCATTTTAAATGCAGTATAATAAAGCCAGCTGTAACACTACCATGCACCTTCTGTTCCATACATGCATACTCTGCACACCATATTGAAATCTAGGTTTTTGCTCTTACCCTAGGGTTGTCATGTGCCTCAGATAAAACAAATATAGCCCTCAAAGAGGAAGAATGACTCACTCAAAAAAAATCACCCAGAACATTTGTGCAAGATCTTTCTTCCCTTCTCCTCCCAGTAGAGAGGCAGTCTTCAGTACTTTTATAGCCTGAGATAAGCCAGAATAAAATCCAGGCTTGCTTACCTTTCCTGGGTACTGATGAAGTTTGAGCTAAAAGATCTTGCTTAAAGACAGCAGAAAAACTACCAAGGATTACACAGTCAGAAAGTCACACAAATGCACTGAACATGGAACTTGATCACTGCAGGCATTTTCAACAAATGGGAGAGGAAAGGGAAGTGCCTTTTAAGACTCCCCTATCTAGGCAGAATGTCATAATGAAATCTGATTCGCTTGAGTACCCTCCCTGCAAAAGTAGGTACATTCCATCTTCCTTGCACCTTCCCGCGAAACCATCTTCCTCTGCAGACCCTTAGCAAGGATATCTAGAAAACTCTATAATAAAACATCTCAGGTAGTTTCAATTTATCCCACTCACACAGCTGCACTTGAAAACTCAAGGCTGTTCAGAACTCAGCTCAGTCCTGAAGCAGAGTTTTGTACCTTGCAGAGTCAACGTAAGAGTTAACTTCTCAATGAATTAATGAAATTCAAATACAGTATACATGTGACAAGAAAAGCCAAGATTATTTTTCAGAAGAGTTCCACAACTTCAAAAGAAACTGACCTTCTCTATGCTGGTGGCAGATTTTTTGATAAGCACACTTCATCAATCCATAACATACATTCCTTGACTTCTCCCCTCCCACTGTGCACCACTCAGGCTCACCGTAATCGACACTTGTGACTGGATGTGCGGCTGATGCAGTATCTGTTCACAGTGTAGAAATAATCATGGTAGGGAACATCATGGGTCAGTACCTCAGCATCCACCTGATAAGACTGACCTTTCTGGCTCTGTTTATGCAGGATCTACCATAAAATTTAAAAAAAAAAAAAAAAAAGTATGTTCATGGTATCAATTTTTTTCTTCTTCCAGCCTGAATTCCTTAGGCTAGATCAACCAACTCCAAGTGAACTAGAGTAGGGGGAAAGCCTGAACGATCAAAATTAAAAAAAAAAAGAATGGCAAGTATAGATGGGGTGGGGAGAGAAAATGACTCCCACTAAAGCCAACACAGGTGGCAGCAGTTCTTCCCCACTGCCATTTCAAGTACCCGATGTAAGGCTGGCAACTGACTCATGACCACAGCTGCTCTTTGAGACCGACCTGTGAGACCTTTCCCAAAGCAGAATTACAGAATGGTTGAGATGGGAAGGCACCTCTGGTGATCATCTTGTCCAAGAACCCTGCTTAAGGAGGGCCATCTAGAGCAGGTTGCCCAGGACTACATCCAGATGGCTTCCAGTATCCCCAAGGAAGGAGACAGCACAACCTCTACGGACAACCTGTTCCAGTGCTCCATCACCCTCACAGTAAAAAAGTGCTTCCTGACGTTCAGAGGGAACCACCTGTGCTTCAGTTTGTGCCCATCACTACTGGTCCTGTCACTGGACACAACTGAAAGGTGTGGCCTTTGGCTGCGAAGGCCTGGCTCAGTCATCTTTGCACCCTCCCTTCAGATACTTCCCACCAAGCCTTCTCTTCACCAGGCCGAACAGTCCCAGCTCTCAGCTGTTTCTCATATGAGATGCTCCAGTCCCTTAATCATCTGACTGGCCCTTCACTGGACTCTTTCCATCTCTCTTGTACTGGAGAGCCCAGAAGTGGACACTGAAAGCATTTCATCACATCTTTTCACTGCCCAATTTATAAGAGATGCTAATATTTTTCCCCAGAGACTTTGTGGGAGAAGTTTACAGTCATTTGTAAAGGTAGAAAGCCTCTCTGATTTGCTTACTAATGGCGAGAAGGGCAGCAAGCTACCTTTAGAGATGCTGCATTTAAACCACAGATCCACATTCATCTCACTGGACTCTAACCCACAGTCAGATCCCTGGACAGACTGTAGAGTTAACCTCTCCCTTGCTTTAAAGAGCACCAGGCACACGCATACAGTACCTGCTTTTCAGTTGCAGTTGTGAACTTCCCACAAAGTGGATTGTTAATAGTTACAGTGTACGTCAAAGTCCTCAACTGATTGCCACTGGAATCTCTATTCCAAGGGGTTGAAACAGCATCTAGATGAGAAATGATGCAAAAAATTTCAAATGCAGATTACTTAAAAGACATTATCTCTACCCTTTCATATCTTAGTTTAAGAACAGTGATGGGGAGAGAGAGAGAAAACTGATTCCAAATGATTGGTTTTTGCAGGAAAAGAGAAAACTGTAGTTCAATGGTGAACAAAGGTGAAGCACTAAGTAGCTGAACTCAAGTCTACTGAAAGAGACCTGAAAGTGGGGAGAAGAGCAAGCAATTATATGCAAGATATCATTTCCCATCTGCTTAAAGTTGACCAGATTCCCTTAGCATTATCAAAAGCTTTTGCCAGTTTGCCTTCCAAACTGACACTGAATAAATATTACCTCTCCTGACTTAATTTTCTGTTCTTATGATCTCAGTGAATAAAATTTACTCATCCAGAAAATTAAAGCCTGTGAGTATCGTTTAGGAGGATGCAATTATTTTGCCTGTGTGCCAGCCGTGCACATTTCACTATTTCTGGAACACAATGTAATCAGAAATATCCCACAAAATGCATCAACTTAACAGCCTACCCAAAATTCAGGCAATTAAGGTGCAGTTCCGTGGGGCACTGAAATGAGGTTTTTACTCTGAAATGTGACTGGTCTACAGATGCAACAGGCTAGCTTTAAATATCCTCTCTTCTAGTGGAACTTTAGGGCTTCAAAATTCTTTTAAAGCAAGGAGAAACTTAAAGTTCAACTTAGCCCTATTTAACACTTCTCAGAGGTTGAAATTTTCAGGATAGTTTGCAACACTGACAGAAGGAAAAAGAATATATTACCTACTATACTCCTGGAATTGAGAAACCTCTGCATGAAGTGAGAATTGGTGAAAAGAATTTCGAACATCTTGTCTGCAGTGATGTGGAAAACTCGGTTTATAAAAAGTCTCCCATAGAGATCATTCTCAGAGACAGTCTCCTTCACTGCTAAGGAAAGGCAGAGATATGAGGTTAAGAATAGAACAGTATTGTGAAGAAACTTTATAATATTCGAAGATTTACTACAGGTCAAATCCTTCCCAAGCTTGCATTAGCATTTGTTTCTCACTCTCAGAAACTCTGTAATGATAGCAGCACGTGATTTGGTAGGTAGGTTGTCTCCAGGAGCAAAGTCCAGAGTTGATTTTCAAACCCATCCTCCCAACCCTATTTCCTGGTGCAAGCATAGAATGCAAAATCAACATCACAAGATCCCACCCCTTTAGTTTTGCCTTCAGTATTCTACTAATACTACAGGAAACATTGGGGAGGACAAAAAGTTAGTGTAATCTTCACTAATATGTGTACTTATTGTACAAAGGACACATGCATAGCAAGCAGGGCAGTGAAACCATACCAGCTTTCTTGTGGCTAGTTTCAGAAATCTGCTTTTAACATCTGTAATGCTGGTAGTGTCCACAGTGTAAGAGACCAGGTAGACTCCAAAAAACACTTCCTCAAACTGTTCCTCCCTCCGTACCTATTTATAAAAGAAATGCAAGAGGTACCCTGCTCTATTTTGCAGACCTGAACAGTGCACCAAGATGCTTAATCGTAATCCCCAATTTCAAAACCACCAACAAGCGCCCCAGTGACATTCTGTGGCTGCAGCACTGATCTTTGTTATTTCTGCTTCTTATTGGTTGCTGGCATGACTCAGCTTTGTGGTTGTCTCAGCCACTCTTGCAAGAGATAAGGGATAGAATTATAATCCTGGAGGGCAGTTTCCTGTGCCAACCTCAACTCAATCTGCTTATGCTTTAGAAACAAGTCCATCCTAAACTATAATTACCAAAAAGCAAACAAGAAACCCCACGCCCACACATTACTAAAACGAAACAAAGCCTGAAAGTGAATCTTGCAGAAGCAAGACAGAAGTCAGGACACCTAACCTTTCAACTGATAGAATGAATGCTCAGAGACAGCAAAGGTCAGTGCAGCCACCAATGCAAAGGTAGCCTGAATATCAAGCTATAGTTCAAAAGCTGCCTTTAGGCTAAGGTTACAGCACTTAAAACGTTACTTCTTGGTAGCAGTCAGTATTGATAAATGCAAATGCAGCCACTAAACACCACAAGAGTCCCCAACAAAATCCAATTCTGACTCCAAGCAGGCTTGTGCCCTAGTGCTGCTTCTAGCCTGCTGAAAGTCCTTGTTACACATCTGCCTCCAAAAAAGTTTTTTGACCTAATCAGGCTTGAATGTGGGACCCCAAAAGTGAAACAAGTGCCATTTTGTGCTTGCACAAGAGATGGACTTCCTTCCCAGGCCACGTTCTGCTTATGCAACTGTAAGTATATGCGGTTGTGAAATGGGACAGAAAGCAAGTACACATTTTAAGAGACCTATTTAACCAGCCAATATGCAGTCATTACATGCTAGAATACAGATTCTGTTGTGCTGAAACATTCTGAGGGAAGCCAGAAATTCAGCCTGGGTTTTCAGCTTATGTTCACTCTATTTCCTCTCAGAGCTGAACTGAATTCCAGCAAAATGCAGTCCAAGCAAAATGCAGTCCAAGCAAACTAAGCTTGACCTCACTAACAAGACCTCAGCATTACAGACCTCTCCCTTCAGAGTGTTCTCCCTGCTTCCTCTCTTTTGCCAAGAGACAGGAAGCTTCAGATATTGATGTTGACATTCCCTTTGCCTGCTGCACATCAGGTAACATGCATGGAGTCAGATACCAGGTAATTCAAACCTCGTTACTCTGGTTGAGTCTTACTCAGCTGAACCTTGACATGCCTAAGGAATCTGCTACCACTTAACACACGCAAAAAACAACACAAAAACACACTAAAAAATCCAACTCAACCTACAAAAAAAAAAAAAAACCCCCACACACAAAGGCCCAGACAGATGATCAAGTCACCATGCATCAGATAAGCTTTGGCAGCTATTTGTATATGTCTTAGCAAATACAAGATAATACAAGTTACCTTTGCCCCGTGAGGCTTAGCTAAATCACACAACTTTATGTTCACCTGAAATGCCTGAGGACAGCTACTATGTTTCTGCTGATGTAACTCGGTAAGCCACTGCAATTTATGATACCCACAAAGCCCTGGCATTATTACCTTATCGTACAGACCTTGATACCGAGATATTTTACTCTTCAAGCATGAAGCCTGTCCTCCTTGTACCAAGTCTTAAGCCAGACCATCCATGGGTCTATATAAAATTTCTTGTTAGTTGATTTACCTACACTTTTTCTCTCTAGTCATGTCTCTAACAAGGACTAGTCAATGAAGTGCCAAGTGCATTGAGAGTATCTCTTGAGAAATATGTTTTTACTTATAATCCCTCTCAGCTCTCAGAACAAACATTTATTTTAAATGGTGTTATCACATAAAGCAGTATTTTCAGAAAATCCAAGCTGAAATTGGATCGATATATCGGACCTATCAGCCACTTAGATGCTAGGATTCAAAGAGCTGCTTTCCAGAAAGCCTAGAAATCTTTCAGATGATAGCTGCATGTATGTCTGAATGCTGCTGTGAGTTCCGCATCTGCGGAAGCAAGTCGCTGCTTGTCAAGCTCTCAGTGTCACTTCCATCCAGGCTTCTCAGAGTTTATCTGTAGAGATCCTAGGTGAAGCAGCGAGTAGAAACAGTAGCACAGCAAGAAAGTGTACAGTTTACACACAATTTGAACAGAATAAAAAGCTTTAAGCACTCATCTCTGCTACAAATGAATATGCATGTTTGTCTACTGTTTTCTTTTGTTTAACTCACACAGGTAAACCTACCTGCCTTTTATTTATCTCAACATCAGAGCAACATCAAGCATTTTACCCAGGACTGGCTTAGAAATCCTGTTTATGAACAAGATGTTTTTTTGTGCAGGTATCTAGGTATCAGTCTAACTCCTTAAATTTTAATGCTGTTCTAAGCCCTCAGCAGTATGCAATTATCAACCACTAACTCTTCGCCTGAATACATTTGTAGATAAATTGGAGCTATTGTCTGATAAGAGAACATGACAGTATTCTGACTTTAGGTTTGAATCTCTAGGGACCCAAAAATCCAGAAGTAAACCTAATTCCCAGAGTGTCCTGGTTAAGCCTGAAGACAGCAAGTCTGTTCCCTCCCCCACTATGGCCTTACACTTCATAAGGTCATTTTCATCACTGCAAGGAAAGCGGTGAATTAATGTTTGAATGATACCATTATGCAGCAGTGATTGCAGAGGTTTGAAACATCTGCAGTGCATGAAGAGAGAGAGAAAACTGGAGAGGGAGAAAGGGGGCAGGAAACAAGGTTGTTCTTAGAATTCCCATTAACAACCAACAGCTCAAAGCTAACCACACACCACAAGCAAATTAAGAAAACTGTACTGATAAGAGCAGAAGCTATCAAACAAATTAATGAGACAGCTGATTTTTCTACTTCACAGAGTTGGGGGAGGATCAGGAGGTGGGAGAAAAAAAAAATGCACGTATGCAAGTCTTGGCACTGTTGAGCATTTCTATGCCACTGGGGATGTGGGAAAACTGCACACTGAATGAAGAATATGCAGGCAGGAGCCTTTAACCAGATACACCTGAAATCAACTCAAAAACAATGCCTACAGTGAACATGTTCCAGACACCATCTATTTAAAGACTGCATCAGCAATATCAACCATTATCAAAGAGCTCTCCTATACTTTAATGACTAAGTACAAAATTAGCTTGGGGAGGTACTGAGTAAGTATTGTGCCAATGCTAGCTTTTTCTAGTTCACAAAAAAACCTTTTACCTTTAGATAACTCAAACATATACCCTCCAAACCCCCACAGCAACAAATAAGTGGTAGTTATATAGTCAACAAAATACATGCTTTTGGTATTTTGATTAAAATACCAACAAGATAACAGGGCTACTCTTCCTTACATACATTGTTTATACATATTTATATTTTTTGGATATTTTGGATATGGAGGGAGGAATCAAACCAGGGCTGAACTAATTTCAACCACTCTCTATTTCAAACATTTTCCACCCCATATATCCCTGTCTGCAAGAAAAGTCAAGCCACCCCTGTACCCATCTCACAACACTACAGTGCAAGCAATTATGCTCCTCTGCAGACCACAGATTTAAGGCGGTTATTAGTAATAATAGAATAATAGGTTATTAGTATTAATAGAAACAATACAGTAAGTCTGTCAAGTTATGCAAGATCAGGAATTTATGATGTTCCCATACACAGCAAAGCTTTCTAACAGAAAAAAACTGTTTTCCAAATTCTGGCTTTCCCATTCTTTCTTTGAAATATTTTATGCTGCTGAACACTGTATATAGGTTTGGGGGTTTTCTGCAATGACAAAGAGTCATTTGAGGAAATTCAGAATCTCCTGGCTCTATTTTAGAAATACATATTCGGTGCTTGAACTAAAATTTGTTTTCTGCAATTTAGAATCAAGACCACAGATACTAATTTTTAGCTTAGCCAAAACTTTGTCATGGCTCAAGAATTATACTCCAATTTATGAAACCGAACAGAAGTACCAAGATGCAGGTCAATAGGCCAGTGGTGCAGTGAGATGCACACCCCCAAGTAAGCAATGTGAGAATTGCTTAGAGTAAAAAAAATAGTGTTGCTAAGGCTCTGGCATTCCAGCTTTGGGTGTCAGGTGGACCTGGAGTTGGAGAACAACAGCCTTGAGCTTGCCCCTCACCTTATTTGGCAGGACACCTCCATAGGCAGCCTGGATATGAGCCAGAGAACAACAGAAATTAATCACATGGGTAAACCTTTGCCATGTAGGAAAGCTAGTTTCGTTTGCATGAAGGAATTCACCTTGTAAGAGTATGGGGCAACTGCAATAGAAAACAGGCAGAGAAACAGAAGAAAAAAAAAATTCTAAGCATAAAGAGGAGAGCGTGAGAGAAAAGATTAATGTTGTGGGACTAGAAAATCCTGCTCTGAATAAAAAAAACTAGTTTTGGGGGAGGGAGGAGAAACAAGAAAAGCAGCATGAAGTCTTTCTTAAGTCTCTTTTTTTAAAGAGACCTCTCCAGTTGAACGTGCTGTATTTACCCAGTATCACCAACACAGGGATGACGGGGAGTATTTACTGCTATTGTTTAGGCAAACAGCAGCATGAAAGACAACAGGACTATTCTCATTCAGTTTCACTGGAGACATTTGCCATAAAAAAAATAACACACAGAGACAGAAGAGAGATGTGATCCTAAAAGGACAGAAAAACTGCAAGATACCCAAAACATCTGAAGGCCAAAACTTTCTGCTACTCTAAAAGACACACCACCTGCGATGGGCTAAACAATTAATTTGTGAAGCTTCAGTGTGTAGCAGTATGGCATAAACAGTAGTCTGTTCAAGTCAGTGCATTCACAAACATGATACAACCTGACATGCATCAAGTTGAATCTTAACTCAGGCAAACGCAGAAGTAGTACAGGTGAGCAAAAGGAAAGGTTAGCTGAATATAAAGAATATCCTCAGGCAACAATCACAACTTCAATCCATGACTTTGAAAGCTTTCCTGGACACCTTGGTGATCCCAAAGTAATGACACCTGCAAGTAACTTCAGTTACTGACTCTGAAAGGATGAGATGCAAAGTTCCTCAGCCAGATTAAGAACTGACCTCAATTGACTGAACTGTTCTATTCCTGACAACAGGTAAAAGTTAGTTACCTCTGCATATGAAAGAAATAGTCAGCTACTAGTGAGCACATTGCTACCGTTGAGCTTTTCTGTCTCCCATTTGCACACTGACACGCAACTTTAGAACCAACCCAAGCTGTGCACAGCTCATTTTAAAGGCATTTACATAGCCCAAGATTGGGATATTTAACAGAACATCCACCACAACTTCAGGGAGCTGTTTGAACTATGGTCCTTTGGCACAGAAAACCTCCCCACGGTAAGTGAACAGCTCAGCCTTAGTGAACAAGAACTTGACAGGGGGGCTACTGTGGGACCACAGAACAAGCACCCACAGACCTCAGCAAAAGTCTCACTGTCATCCAGTCTGGGTAAAAAGGCACGCTCTAGCCTTCCTCTCTCCCCAGGACATATCAAAAACACTTATACCAAAACCACTACGAGACATACAGCTACATTTTTCCCTCCTACAGTGAGAAGAAAGGAAGCACGTAACAGCCAAGTTACAACCTCTACACTACTGTGGTATCCAAGTTCGTTATCTTTTACTGGGTAATGAGGTATGAGTTATGAGGATGGTATATTAGGATCCATTAAGACACTAACTCTACTGGCACATAAAGTGTAATCTGCTCCAAGATACATGTTAAGGTTTTCCATCTTCAGGATATGCACAATACACTCCTGAAATCTGGGAAGTTGTCTTGCCTGGACTTTCAACAAATTCCTCAGTTTACTCCGTCAGTAACACCAAAGCTCACATGCCTTAAGAAAGTACAAGTGTAAAGGGGGGTGGGGAAGGCAGGGGAATCTTTCAGAAACTGGAGAACAGTCTGAAATGTTTCCCCTCAGCTCCCAAGAAGTAAAAACAAATGCAAGAAAAATACCTGAAATACCTGTGAGAGCATGAAAAGTGAACAAACACCACCTTGTTGTCAAGAAGCTTTTTTTTTGTTAGTTTATGCTGTTAGCAACTCTTTACCCACCAAAGGAGAAAAAGCAAAATCACAATTTGTTTTCATTCTAAACACCTGCAACAACTTTTTTTTTTTCTCCCCAGAAATTAAGATACAAAGATGTTTTCACTGCAATTCTGTGAAACAAATGAGCAAACAAGTTTCATAAGATCAGAAAGTTCTCTAACTTGCTCCACAAGTGAGATGGAACACCAGAGTCAGGTTGTCTTACAGATCCCAACTGTTAAGAGATTTACCTTCTTCGCTATCTGAGGCACTGCTCTTCTCTGGAAGATTTTCATTCTCATTCAGATCCAAGCACTTTTCTAAAGACCTGCTCCTGACTAGCTTAACAGGTTTTCTTTCTGAAGATGGAAGAGGGCTCTTCTTTATTTGCTTCTCCGTTGGGGACTCCTCCACCTGAAACAACCAAGAGAAAAAAAATTAATCAGTAATCACAAACTATTTAAAAAAAAAAAAAAAGAAAAAAAAAGAGAAAGCTACTTTCAGAGAAGAAACATAAAGGAAGCCACAAGTTCTATCCACTTATCACCGCATGGTCAAGCACCAATTTCTCCCTTGTTCCCTCCTATCTCACTCAACCTCCCTCTATTTCAAACTTTCACTTTACCCTGGTAACAAGGGACAGATTTACTCATCTGTACTGTTATACCAAGAGCTGCCTTAAAAGGGACAGTTTACTTTCCATCCAGTCCCCCTTGTACCCACCTACATGGTTTGGTCCCCTTCCCTGCATCAATGCTAGCTTTTATACATTCATTACCCTAACAGAGATTATTTACTTTTTATTGATCAGGTTAGTTTTTTCCTGCCAGTTTAGCAAGGGGTCCAACAATCTTGAGGGAAGCACAGTGAAAGAGGTAGGGCCTCCCTTTTTCAGCAAGATTAGATCATCCCAACTCCAAACACATTTGAAAGGTGCTCTCATTTTACAGAGCTCCATTATCCTTAGACAAAAAAAAAAAAAAGTTTTAAAACACTCTAGAGCCATCCTATCTATAAAATGTTATTTCTCAAAAACAAAGCAATGGAGTAACATTTGGTATCTCCAATACATAGGCAGGAAATCCCCCCAAACATCAGTCACTGAATCAACCATCCAGCTCTTAACCCTAAACTATAACAACTGGAGGCTAAGTTTACATGCCATTGCTCACTTCAAGAAGTAATTTCTAGTGAAACTATGCACAAGGTTCGTATGTCTCAAAACGCCACCCAAAAAGCTTTGCTACTAGCTTCAAATCATAGCTTTCATCCTAAACCTCTCCTCAAAGCTCCCGTTGCCTCCAGTGGAACAGCTGGGATCAACAGTAGTACACAGATCATAATAGCTGAGGAGGCCTGATCTTATTTGAGTATAGTTTCGATTCATCTGCAATACCATCATCCCTAAAGATTATTCAGCACTGACTCAAAAAAGCAAGAGCATCCTCTACTTGCACAGTCATCACGTACTTCCTGTATTTCTTGGCTTTTTTCAAAAAAAAGACCATCCACTTTTTTTGTGTAACTGAGGGCTATTAGCAGAAGGTGGGTGGCTGGAAAACAGAGACAGGCATGAATTTAACTGCAGTATAAGCAGGTAAAAATACTCCCTCAAGGTCAAAAACAGAAAAAAAAAAAAAAAAAGCAAGACTACATCGGAAAAGCAGATCAATTAACAAATGCTCCTATTGAAAGTAGCTACCATGCCTGAAGTTATACTCACACAACAGGAACTAGGACAGAACCAATATTTCCATGTCAAAACACTCTACCTATAGAGATGGAAGCCAGAAAGGAGCTAGTTGTGGTAAAACAGTCTAAAAACTGAGACACAGATCCAGCACAAATCCAGGGAACTCTCATAGCACTCTGATGACAGCTAGGGATGTCAGAAACAACAGGAGCTCCCACTAGCAGTGTAAGAACAGCCCGATATGCCATGAGCAGAACGAGAAAGTCAGGCTCAAGTCAGAGGACAAGAGCAACAGCTCCTACAAAAAAGCCTTTTGTGATGTCAGGGAAGAAGAGATTCACATTGAGGCTTTTGGAATAACTGATCAACTCAAACAGCTTTGAGTTTTTTCATGTTTTTTTGGTTTTTTTTTTTGTTTTTTTTTTTTTGTTTTTTTTTGTTTGTTTGGTTTTTTTTGTTTGTTTTGGTTTTGTTGTTGTTTTTTTTTTTTTGTTTTTTGTTTTTTTTTTTTTTTAAGGGTCAGGGAGGGCACATTTGTGTTTACACTAAAGAGTACTGATTTTAAGATCTGTCAGCTGGAATTAAAGATGTACAATTTCTTCCTTATGTTTATCTCCTGAGCTAGTCCCATACTGCTAAGATCTGTGCCAAGGCTTTTCTGGTTTTTAGCCTGTGAACAGCAGGCTCTGGGACTGGTGGCTTCCACGTTGAGATGAACTGCACTTAAAGAAGCAGACAAGCCATGACTGGTGTTACACACAAACTTTCCTTAATCAACTATGGACAGGTATTGAAAATACTTTTTCCGAGACAGGCCAAGTACTATAGCCAAGTCCAGATCTTCCTCTGAAGAGAGCTCTGAGACTTTGTCTATCACAGCAGTAAAGGAGAGGCTAAGTCTGCATCCCTCCAGTCTTTGGAAGGTGATTAGCTGTGTTTTGTGTTATCAGTGCATTGTTTTTGATAAATACATCCTAAACACTACCGCCTCCTATTACTCCTGTGCTTCTACAAAATATACGCTAATCCAGGGACCAGGGAGCATTGATATTCTTGAGAAATGCCAAGTGACACATTCAGCTGAACACAATCATTATGTATTTTAGTTACACTGAAACAGTAAGCTAAAGTGTTACACATTTATCAAGACTGCACTTTTACACTATAAATACAGGACTTTTTAAAGGCAGTTTATTCAAGGGAGAATCCTAGCATGGTTCCTTGCCTACAAAACAAATCCCTAGGCATTACTGCTCACCAACATGCCCAATTAGACTTAGCACCTGCAAGGGATCTCTGGGAGTGGCACCCACCAGGTAAACAAAACACTTCCCAGGCAGAGCAATTATTTTAAAATGGCTTGTTCTTGTGCAAAGAAGACTTACAAGTCCAAACCAAGGCTATCTGGGTAGATTTTTAGTTATCCTACAGAGTCTACATTCCAGCAGCATCCACAGTCCAAGGCTTCCCTTACAGCTCTCCAAAAATCATACACTGTTAGGATTTCCATGAGGGATACCCATTATCCAACTAAGTTTTTAACGTCTGACAAATACCAGTATTGTTTGCTGGGTATAAGTCTCTAGACAGTAACTTGGATTTCAGTAAAATTATTTAAAGCCTGGTTAGCCTCCAGATCAGTTTTAGCAAGTGACAAAAGCCAAAAGATTTACATAGTAGTAAAAACTACTACGATCATCTCCTTTCTTCCCTCCCCAATTTTTTCAAAGCAGAAACAGCAATTAGGTACCCAACCCTAGTGAAGTTTATAAGAAATGCTTTAGTGCTTTATTTGCTTTTCCAGTATCTTTCCCTTGGGGTATCTAGTAATCAATAGAAAATGTCTATTACCTTTTAGGACTACAACTATACACTGGCATCCCAACAACTGTGCACGCCTCGGGTACCACTGCGAACACCCTCCCAACCAGACAAATGCATTCACAAATTCACTCAACACCATGAGTGAAGCACTTATTCTTGTTCAGTTGTATTAAATCAAGGCATTATGGGAAAACTCATCTTTATTATCTCAAGTATGGGTTTTCCTCCCCCCCTTTCTTCTGAAACATTTCCACAAATTTAAGTAAAAAAGGTTTCATATATTCACAACAGAAGACTAATTGACCTCTAAAGGCAAGGATAACGTAGCATAAGTACCCTCTAATACTTCTGTCTCACCTATACATGAGGTTTATATGAGATTTTTTTAAATGACAAATAGCACAAGCAAGAAAGCACTGGAAGTGAACAAAGGCATTAGCTTTCATAAAAAATGCACGTGGTCACTAGGAAGATGGAGAGAACAGTTAATTTTGTTTTTAAGCAAAGACCAGGGCATAAGCCTCAGCATTCTAGCCAGGTTATACAGCGAATTAGTGATAGGACATTGCTGAAATTCACACCAACAATACTCTCTTATACAGAATGTTGATAATTTTCAAATTCAAGAACCACTTGTGAAACCCAAAAATATTCTTATTAAATTTCTGATGTGAAAACCTCCTAGTCTATTATGAATTCTCAAAGGCTTCTTTAGAAGTTACAATCCCCATGCATCCTATGCTTACAGATATAAAAGTTAAGCATATATACTTTATCAGTTACAAATAGGAAAAAAGGCTGTGTCAGCACTTACTCCTGGCAACGCGTGTCTGAGTGTCTCTCCTTCTGTTTGAAGTGTAGGTTCCCGAACTAAACCAATCATTTTATGTAGTTTTTCATCCCTTTCTCCAGAATCATCACAAATGCTGGATCTGTTCAAAGCAAAAAGGAAGATGTCTTTGGAGATAAAAACGCTGAAAAATCTGAGAAAGCTTCTCAAGTGTGAGTTCTGCATTCACACCATTGCTGTTCAGCTAATATCAAAATATCAAAAACTACCAACTCATTCTTCAATCTAAACTCTCAAGCCATTTTCTTCACCCTCTCAGAAGACTCAGCTTCTGACCATAAGGTTAGTAAAACCAAGCACTGGGGAATCAGAGAGAAAAGTGAATGCTGTGGCAGAAGAAGAAACAGAGATAGCTTAGAACAAAATTGGGAAGAAAAATGTTTTAAGAAAGTTTGAGACAATTTTTTTCCTCCATCCTTTATTTCAGAATTGCAAAGTAGTGCATTTTTTACAGGAAATATTTAATAGGACAGCTTTCAAAGCTTGTAGTGAATTTAAGATTTTTTTTTTTCTAACATAGGTAACAGGACTGAAGAGAGACAAATTACATTGTTCAGTTTTGTAGAGCCATACTTATTTACAGACAGATACAAAAATTAAAGCCCCATTATTAGACTAACACTGGCAGTTCATAAGTTAATTCACATTTGTTGCAAAAAAAAAAAAAAAAAAAAAAAAAAATCGAGACCACCATTTAAAAAAAGTCCCCCTACAGTTACATTATTCCAGTTTCCTAATTCAAGCTGAGGACAATACAAAAATAAGCCAAGACCTCAGACATCAGGAGAACAAAGCAAAACAAGCATTTTAGTCTCCATAGAGGGGAGGAAGAAGTATCTGATCATTATAGATCCATTCTGTTCAGCCCTTCCATTTTGTTGAAGGGCATACAGCTCCTGACTAGATACCATCATGAGAAAAGGTTGCTATTTAAGCTATCCTGCAGATATCCCCACGCAGATCCAGGGAAATCAAGGTCTTCCTATCTCCTTCCTCTAAGTGGCCTCAGCTCTGCTCCTACTATTATAGACAACGAACACAATTAAGTTTTTATGCACGCTCAGTTTATGCAGTTTGGTTCTTTGCATCCTTTTACCAGGCTTAACCTTCCTGGTAAGGCTCCAGCAGCACTTTGGAAAAAGAATTTCTAAGCAAGAGGACACTGCTGCTCCCCCAGTATTTCAATAAGCTTTATAGCCTCCCCTTACCGAGGCTGCCCGTTGTCCTCAGACGATGAGTGAAAGCTCTCCATCTCCTCGCTGTTCAGGCCCAGCTCAGAGCCATAGCTCTGGTGCACCAGCTGCCAGAATTCCTGCTTGGTCAGCCTCTGAAAGAAAGCAAGCTAGTCAAGAACGACGGTACGGGACAGTAAGGCACAGGAGGTAAAACGGTAAGAAGTTTGAATTACGCCACAGACTTTAACCTCAATTCTGACAAGGACTGAAAGCATTTGGGTATCACATTTCAAGATTGGATTTCAGCATTTTGGGGAACTGTACTCCTGTCTACTCCATATTCCCAAACCGCAACCGTTCAACCAATAACACCAGACATGAAAAAACTTGTTATTTCAAGAAAACACATGCTTCTAACCATTACTTGCTGCTTCACACGTCACCAGTGTTTTCACAGATATCTTCAAGGTAGCTCCCTCTTGAATTTCACTCGATACAGCACAAGACCAGTAACTAGTAGACAGCCAGCGACTCCCTCTTTGATCTTCCACAAAGCGCTTAACAGATACATGCCTGTTTCCTCAGGATGCTCAGAGCACTTTACAGATGGTGAGAGGCTAGCGTTCCAGCCACGGCAGGCAGTGCTGTCTAGGTCAGCCAACTGCCCATTTTGCCAACGTGGGACAGGAGGTCCTCGCTTTGGGACACCACCAGAAGCCCCCGACAAAAACAAACGGCTGCTTTTACTCAGTAACAGTATTACCTTGACTCCCCACTAGCTACTCTTCTCTTTCTCTATAGTATCCCTGCCCTGCTCCATGAATTCCCTGCAGCTACTGGGATATATTTTAGTTCTCTCAAACCATCAGGAAAGTTAGGAAGTGAAAGTAGTATTACAAACTCATATCGGCAAAGTAAGCAACTGGTTCCAAAGTCCAGTTCAGCTGTAAAAGGCTAAAAAAAAAAAAAAAAAAAAGATCCAAACCAAACAAAAAAAGAGAGAAAAGAAGTAAGGTTCTGGGATTTAGCAGAGCTCAGAGAGCAATACCAGTGGACTTAAAGAGACACCACACTGGAAAAATGTGCCTCAGCCACAATCCATATTGATCAAGGGAACAGAACTGTGCTAATGAGGTGGTAACACAAGTCCTGCTTACTATTTGCATGAAATGATCACATTAAATATCCATGCATTATTTAAAGGGCTTTAAATGATCCTCTCCACCTCCCTATACCACCTGTAGAGTGTTATCCTACCCGCAATTTTAGACAGACCCGAACGAGCTGACCCCACAAGCAGGAATGTAAATGCACGCCCGTACTTTTCCCCCCCACCCCCCCCCAGTCCCGGGGGCTGCCGGCACCCTCCCGGAGGGCGCCTGTCGCCCCGCACCGCCACCAACCTGCCGCTTCCCGCCGCTCCCGGGGCGCCCCCGGACCCGCCGCCGCCGCGGTCCCACTTCCTGCTGGGCGGCGGCGGCGGGGCCCGGCCGGGGCCGCCCCCCCCCACCCCCCCCGCCCGGCGGCGGCTCCAGCGAGCGGGGCCGGGGCCGGGGTCAGGGTTAGGGGGGGAGCGGGGCACTCGCGGGCAGCGCCTGTCCCCGTCGCCGGGCCACGCCGCGGGTGTCCCTCTGCCCACTCGCCGCGGGACCCCCGCACGGCGTGGCAAGGCAAGGGGAGCCTCTCCCCCCGCCAAAAAGCGTGCGAGGGTCAAGGCTAAACCCCAGCCAGGTCGGGACGCGGCGGTTGCTCTCAGCCGCTCTGGCTGAGGGTTTGGTTGTTTGTTTTTTTTTTTTTTTTTTTTTTCCCCCCCCCCTCAGGTGTGTTTTCCAGCACAACGAGGTTTCAGGCTGTTCAGAAAGCGGCTGGCACAAGCATCCCAGCGGTGGAGATCAGTTTCAAGGTATTTAATCCTACCGAGGGCAAAGTAAACATTAAAACACGAAACACGCACATAGAAAACAAGGGTCGTAACAGCTAACGCCAGCCTCCCTCTGCCACCGGGGTTTGCTCTCCAAAGCAAAGTAGCACTAAGGACACCCCCATCAACACACAGCTGCCTTACTTCCCCCAGGTGCGCTGTACTTCGGAGCAGCAAACTCATCACCACAAACAACTACCTCCAGCTGTGTCCCCTAAACGGCTAAAAGCAGGGAGTAGGTATTACACAGTTTCAAAAGGTGACAAAGATGTATCTCTAGATAGCCCACCTTTCCACCCGAAATTCAAGGGCAGAAACAAAGCCACTTTCACTTCTGTGGGCCAACATTGCCAGTGCCTTTATTTCCAGTCATAAGAAAATAACTGGCAAATGGCTAATGCCGCTCATTAAATTCACCAGCACGTTCTGCACCAGTCTGTGGGCAAATCAGACTGCCCTTGTACAGAGAGCTCAACGGCTTGAGGAAAGCAGAGAAACTTTAAACTATGCCTTTTAGGAATCTATAAAGCTGTTTCCTGTGGTTTTGTGCAGTCAATGTTACCAACTTCTGCTTCTAAAACAGGATCCTTGCACTCTGCTCAATTATTCCTAGCTCAGCTAGATGTAAGTTGTTAATGGTCACAGCCCAAGATCAAACCAGTCTTGATTACTGTATTAGAAAAGATTAGTTCTGAAGGCAAAAAAGGGCACAAGTTTTCTGGGTCAGTCAGACTTCTGCTTCTGAGGGGATGGTTTGAGAAGCTCTGAAGTTTGAAAGGCTGAATCTGAACATGAATTACTTTGCCCACTCAAGGTGATGGTTTTTGCTGGATTTCTCCTCAGTTCTCTTTGTATACAAAAACAAAGGCTAAAAGAAGCAGCCAGGACACATTTTTTCTTTTCAACTAGGAGCATAAAACTTCAATACTTTGTTTCACACGAGACAAAGTGGTGGCGTGGCACAAGCAATACTACAGAATACCACTGACATAAGCAAAGATGCTGTTTTTTACCCCCTACGGTCAAAAGCAGAAATAAGAACAAGACGCTCCACACAAGTTTACTCCAGAGACAACCCCCCACCACACTCCCAACCAGGCAACCCTAATACAAAGTTCTGTCCGACTGCTTGTCTGCAGGACAGGGCAGGAAAACAGCAAACTCCCCCCTATAGCTGCCCAACCATGAAGGTCAGAATCAACCCAAGCCCTCTTTGATCTCTAAAACAACCCTTGTCATACACAAAGGTGCAAATAAACATCTCTGTTTTCACAGCCTTCCCTGAGCAGCTGCCAGGGAAGGCAGAACTGCTGTCCTGGTAGACATTTGCCACAAGAAGCCCAGCTCATCAGAAATTCCGGGCCCTTCTCACACCTCTAGACTTACCTGCTACAACGTCCCTGGAGACAGGTGCAAATCTCTACCCAGCAAAGCATAAGAAGAACAATAGGAAAATAAATCCAACTCTACGGAAGAGGACTCATGGGAATTGAGACTGATTAAGTTAAGATCTTGTTCCATTAGAAAGAAGGAGCGCTGTGTTTGTTCGGGATTTGAATGACCTGCCTAATTAGATTTTAATTTGTTCCTTCTCCCTTAAACTGGAAGGATATTTGACACCCCTAAGCTTTAGGAAAATAAAGCAAGAGAATAAACAGCATTGCTCTTACTGTCAATAGCAGCCATTTGTAAACTGGCTTTACAAATCTGGAAAGCCTGTTGCAAAACAGGAATTTTGGCTGATTTTATAAACTGATGTATTATTGAAAGCCCCAGTGGATGTGGAAGCAGCTATCTGTTTTATCAAGATTGGTGTCATGTCTCTTCCAGACCTACATTAATGATTCCTTATTTTCCATGATGCTCCCCCTTCGACCAGGAGCATTTAAAAAACAAAGTCAAGGTAAAAGCCTAAGACACTCACTCTGAGCACATTTTACAATAGGAATGAAAAAAAAGTGGAATTGTCCTTGAAATAAAAGAAGTTTCTACATGGACATTTTAAAAAAACAGCCTAAGAAAGGACCATCTGAAGAGGAAGGTACCCACTGATCCCCAGAGGAACCAGCTGAAGGACACCAAATGCCCAGTACCGTACTTTGAGCAAGATCTGAAGAAGAGCTCTGAGCTAGAGAATTACAACTCAGCCAAAGGGACCAGGAGTCCTATCAGAACAGCGACACAAATTTGGGGGAGAGCATCTTGGTGGCCAAAGTAAGCTTAAGCATGGAATAGCATGTAACCATTGACTGGTTTTCTTACATGATGCTAGTCACTTCTAATAGTAAGGCAGACTTTGAAGCCTACTTGTTCAACTGGTTAGGGCATGCGATACTTAAAAAGTACAAGGCAGAATGGCCACAAGATGGAGATCTGGGAAAGGGCATGCTGACCCTACCGAGAAGTTCTGCAGGTGGTGAAAGCTTAAGGTGTATCAGGTAAAGCAGACAGGTCACTCTCCAGAGGTGAGACCTCGTAACACAAAATCTATGCCCAGGAAGCATTCAAGAGGCGAGAGCCAGTAACGGAAAATTACCTCTGCACAAACATGCTTTGAAGCAAATGCAATTCCAGTCGCCTGGATCCAAATCCTGGAAATTGGGGATTAGTCACTATCAGGTGGTACAAACCAGCACTGTGTCAGCTACACTCAGAGTTATACTACAGATGACACCACAATGATTTTATTTCATAACGAAACAGTGGGATGTCATCTCCAGGTCTAGCAGATGCATTCCAGATAATAACAAAGTTAGCTAAATATTTTAAAGCCTATGAATATCTGCAGAGGAATCATTAAAACCAGCTCCTTTTGGAACTGGTTCCCAAATGAGATTTGGGCTTTTTGTCACAAGCTTTACAAATTCTGACTAGATCCCTTTGACCACTGGAGCCCAGAAACACCAGCTTCACAGACTCAGGGCATTGTACACCATGCCAGAGCCTCAGAAGTATGAGATCTCTTTCAAATACATGCTGTCTCTGCCACGAGGCAGTGGGGAGAAGGTGCATCTAAGCCATTTTGCTGCTAAGGGCTTGCTTTTATCAACAGATGAGTGACAGCTGTCACTGTACTGGAGTCTGTGGATCCAGCTCTAGCAACTTCAGTTTCTACTTTCAACTCCTCAGTGCCCCTCTACAGCTTGATCTAGTTTAGTTAAGCAGTAAAGAATCATAAAGCAGGCTGACAGGTCACTCAAACATATTCTAGTAGAGAATCGGAAATCGCTACTACATTGCAGAAGTAGGAGCTCAACTTAAATTCTGTTTTCAGTCAGTAACTCCAAACACACTACATTCAAAAGCCCTACATACAAATCAAGGCAATGCTCCATTTTACAACTCAGAACCCCAAGCAGAAATTCATGACACTCATCTTTCAACATACTTCAGTGAGGATGCAAGAAAGCCAAAAGGAAGGTTAGATGGAAATAATAAGGAGAGTTCCCAAGCAAGTCAGATGCACTGGTCCCTAAAATCTGCTGGCTTAATTCATCTCATCTTACATGCAGCCCACACCTTCTACTTTCATGTCTATCCTTTAGTCACTGCTATGAAGCGAAAAATTGTTCCTAATGTGACACTCGTTTCAGTGTCAGAATAGAAATGCATGGGGAAAAACTAATCACAAAGCTTGTTGCCTCTGTTCCAGCCCCTTGGATAGATCTGTATACCTGAACGCCCATACATTCACGCTCCTGCACCACAAACTAACCAACCAAATTAAATAATTATTGCTCCTAACAAACTTTGCCTAACAAAAGAAAACTAGATTAGTTCCAGTTGCACATACCAGTCAAAGATGACATAATATATTGTGGGTTTTGCAGTGCTATTGCTGGATTCAAGACAAGATGGTTAAGATGTTAAAGTTAAATAGGATTTGATATGAGGGATAAGAGATTTGCAAGAAACATTGGTTTTGCCTTAAACGACACTTCACTTTATTTTCAGCTTTTGTTCGACAAAAAGTGCCTCTAGTCAGTCCTAAAATTCATCTAACAAAAAAGCTTTTGGTTTTTGTTACATATAAGACTACATAAGTAGTGCAACCACTTTAAGCCTTTGGGGACCACAGCAGCACAGAGTTATAGACTGATATTTCAGCATTCTATTGCAACCGTGTTGAAATATTTAAACGAGAGCCATAAACAGGAAGGAATTGGTTTACAAAAATTGCAGTACTTACAGTGATGTTCTGCAAAAGCGTCGGTACATTTTTAGAAACAAGATTAGCTTAAATGTTCACAAATTGCAGTATAAATCAAGCTAACCAGCGAAGTTGCCAAAATATACTTCCATATCATGCAGCCTGCCTTTGTTGCATTTATTCAAGGTCAGGGGAGTTGTAATGAGTTGGTTGGCAAAGGTTCAGCTAACTTATCTGAGAAGGTGATTTTTGGCTTTTTCCTTAAAAAGAAAAAAAGCTTTCACTGAAAAAGCATCTTGTCTTTTTGATCACAAATTAGCCACAGAAGATGTGAAGCAAATGCATGCCAATTTAGTAATATCTGCTTGAGCTGGTAGTGAAGAGAAGCATGCAACTTATCTTCACAGACAAAATGTTATATCAACAGCAAAGTTGAAAGGGATAGTATGAGAAAAGGATGAGAAGTTTATCTGGGATCTAAAGTACGAAGGAGAACATCAGATTAGAATTCTGTGTCAGAAAGGAAAAGTTAGTTTCATAACGAAAAAAGTCTCCTATCCTCCAAAGACCCATCTGTTTACATTAGAAAAAGATTATTTTGTTATTTAACCATAGGTACTGGCACTTACCTTATCCAGCAACACATTCTGCCATAAGCGGAAGATACTGAGGTAGCTTCTGTCTCTTGCACTGAACGATGTGAAAAAAAACTGCAGGAAAACACAGATGCAAAAATCTCACTTGTGGGTATTTTCAAGAAATCTAGAATGCTTCCTTGTATCTTGAATATCCCAAGGCTTTCAGCAATAGCATGCTCCTCTCACATTCAACAAACCTGGGCTCATATTCCTCACACTCCACACTTTTTATCACTTAAGAGATAGCTCCCCAATATCCACATAGTATATAAAGACACTGGCTCTTCTGGGCATCTGACTGCAATCATTTGTACCTTCAGCATAAGGAGCAAGCTCCCCTTCAACTAACTACACAGTTAAATCTTTCTCCCACTTCCAAATAGAAGGTGGAACATATCAGAGCTGCATAAGCCTATTTCTTACAGGCCACAGCCTTTTCCATCCTTCCGCCACATGTTCCTTTTACTTATCTTTTCACATGAGATGATGTGAAGTTAATTAAAATAGGAGATCAAATTAGATGCATCATTTGCAGTACTAAAATCTTCTTTCCCATTTGAAAGTTTGTTTAGCAGAGAAAGAGGTTTATCTTCCTTGATGAAAGTTAATATTTAATAAATTGAGAGCAAACAGCTAAATAAGAAGAAACACAGTTCCTTCACAAAGAACAGCTCCAGATTCACCCTGGAAAACTATTTTCTGTATCCAGCCAAGAATCGTTATTTTCAAGGCATTTACAGAAGAAGGATCATGAAGTACTAAGAACATTCCACATCATGCTTTTCATTTTTTTCCCAAATACACACCCAAAACCTACATTTCCCAGCTCAAAAACTGCACATTCTATGAGTAGATTTCTCTGACTCAAACCCCATGATATCACAATTCTTTTGTTTTCAGGAATTTTCTTCCAGGGGCACTTTAAATCCATCAAGTTTGATATTTTTGTGATCTCAAGGATGCACAGTTCTGAATTCATGCCCTGAATGTTTAGCTTTCAAATGACTTTCCTTTGAGAAGCAGTGGGACAAAAATTCCCTTGCTTACTGTATCAGTACTACTAGGGGATTCTGCAATCAAACTAAAGTTGAATTATCAAGCCAACATGCACAGGGAGCAAATCACCATGCCTGTCTTCTATTCCCAATCACATTTAAAGATTTGACAGGGAAGTTAATTATACAAATTATACAAACTACAAGTTTTCTGCCCTGGACATTATCATTTTAAGAAACATATTTAAACACAGGTTTTCACCTTCTCTCCTTTTGTTGCTATTTGTATGGCATTTGGAATGAGCCGAGCAGTCTTCTCCTTTGTCATAAAAGTGATATCCTTCAAGGCAATAGAAATCTAAACAGAAACAGATTTAATAAGACATATTAAAAAGACTGAAATTTTACAAAGGCACAGAACAAGCAAGAGGAACTCAAACTAACCCCAAACCCTGGGATGCAATTCAATTGAGATCACAAAGGCAATTACTGTCTCTATGTGCTAACCTTAACAGCAAGCACTCCAAAGGAGAGGCAAGTTAAGATGATGTAAAACTAATCTGTTCTTCTTTCATACCAGGACTAAGGAAGCAAGTAGTTCTTTCTTCTTTCCTTCCACTCCTCCAGCAACACTCAAGGATTAAGGGCACAATCCCAACCACCTACAAACCACAGATCTGAAAGCCAATCCCAAGCAGTACACTATACATAAGGCAGGACACAGATCAGTAACAGACAATCTTGTCCATGTCATCTCACAGAAGTTTGCAATCTAATTCATTTCCACAGAGGTTTATTTGCAGTCCAGAAACTGCAAGAAAATCTTCCTGCTTGGGTGTGTTTGCCTGGTATATTAATACTTGAAAGGTTTCTGTTTAGAAGAGCATGGTCTGGCTGGCTGCAACAAGTGATTTCCATTCAGCCCACCTACCTCCCTTGAAGATAAGGCTGTGCTGCCATTCACCTTAGAGAAGGGAAGAACATATTTGGATCTTTCTTTTTTACTGTGTGCAGAAGGTCCTCCACTTTCTCCCTGTGCATCACACAGCCTGCTAAGGAGGTCCCACAACTTGGCTCTACCATTGCAGCTGATGAGCTCACACTGCCTTAAGATATCACTCTGCCAGGTAGGCAGGAACAGGTTGGTTACCAGGACATATGCTGTTTTGGCTGAAAAATCTGTCTTTGAAAAGTTTATATATTCAAGGGTGTAATTTCAAAGGGATTTTTTTTTTTTTTTTTTTTTACATCTCAAGTAAGAAACATACAATCATCAAATTCATCTGATGAAATTAAGCTTAGTTTTCAGTTAAGCACTTCTACACCCCCTCACTGTATTAAATACATGAGCTATTTGTTGTCTGTCCTGTACTTCAGAGCACACATAGAATTTAAAAGATTAATTTAAGGTACGAGCAGTCCCACAGTTGCAGAACATTTTGACACATCTCAATCGCCTATTAACTAGGTTACCTTCCCTTTCTCATTTACTGCTTTGTGCTATTTCTACAGTAGATGCAACGACTGCTTCAATGAGAAATTTTAACTCATTAACCTAATCTGACAGAAATAGAAGGCTAACACGTCAAATATCTACTTTTGCTCATACTGTTTAAAAGCTACAGACCACAATATGAGAACTTGTACAGGTCATTTGTAGGTTCTCTTCAGCTGTTCTTAGATGCTGATATTTACATGTGAGACTAAACCAAGTAAGGTTCTTGGGGAGCTCTTGAACAGGGCAACACCATGTACCGTATCATGCTCCTGGTCTTACAGAAGACCATTATGTGTTACAGCCTTTTATAGAGCAACTCTCCTTGGTGAGGAGAGGCAAATAGTCATCCAGAAATGCAAAAGATCAGTTTTAGCTTAATTCCTGAACTTCTTCCTATGCTGAACGACTAACTGAGTAGGCTTCCTTCAGCATTCAGATGTCTCCAATGCTATTCCCATTTTATGGAACAATGGGTCCACATTTCCACTCAGGGATGTAGGCTCGCTCTTTTCAGCGCAAAGTTACTAGCATGAGATTGACAGGTTAAGATCTGTTTGAGGGGCTCTTATATTCTGATAGTACAGGACAAAAAAGGTGGGATTCAAGTGAGCTAAGAGATCTTACTGTGGTCTCCCATCGGAAAATGTTGCTGTGGAAACAGAGCCAGTTTTCAGAGAGATACAAGCGTCCTTGCAGCAGGATATCCTTCTGGAGTGCACAGGCATAATCTACGTATAGAGAGCAAGAGCAAGTTTACTCACTTACGGCAGCTCAGTTGACCCAAACCTGTTAACTTAAAATGACATAAGGGTATTACAATACAAATAAAAAGCCACTTTCACTCTTCAAAAGTCTGTGAAAGCAGACTTGTACTGGGTTGCATCTAGACCATTGTTCTGGGAATACCCCAAAGCCAGAGTTGATGAAAGTATCTGTGCGAGGACAGCACTTTATTTATTGACCCCCTGTGCATTATCCTGTATTTTCAAAGAGGTATTAGGCAAGATCAGAAGTACATGGGAGAAGTATTCATAAGTCAAACTTCAAAGCTCCTAAACAACTGAATACACAAACATTTTATAGTATAACAGATTATACTGTCAACTCCTACATAACAGTAGTTCATATGCTGTAAGATAATCACTTTCCACTAAACAGATCCTATCACTAGCTAAAACTATCTACAGAGTGAGACACTAAAAGGCAGCTTGAAGCTATGCAGTTATTCAGGCAGGGGATATTTTCAGAAGCCGACTGTCATTTTTATGATGACAGTGCCTCTGGCTGAAACATCCCATTGAGAAACAGATTTCATCAAGAATGCAATTACCCATCATCAGATACCTGCTAATTAAGAACAAGAGCAGAGGATTTGGTTTTTAAAAACCTCTCTGATAGAACTTTCATGATTTCAGTGCCTGAAGATTCAAACAAAAGGAATTTTCAGAATTACCACTACTAGAAAGTTAAGACAGACCCTTTTTGGAACTTCCAACCTAAAGAAGGTTACCTTATGTATAGAGAAGACACAGAATGTATCTATGCAGGATGTTAATGATTTTAACTTTAGAGGTATCGAAGAGTTTTGTTATTTGAAAAGCATTGTATCTGGTAGTGTCTGAGCCAAAATTCTGATTCTGTGTACTACAAAAAGATGAATACAGTTCTCGTTCGGGTACCAAGAGGTTCAGGAGTCCCTCACCATCCTAACTTCAATGTAAGTCTGCATCTACAAAAGCTTTTATCATGATTTTTTTAAATTCTCTTGGGTTTTCCCCTCAAATAATCAAGTGGAAATAAAGTTCCTTGCAATAAGCCCTTGGAGACATAACTGCAAATAGAACTACATAAACTTAAAGATATCCAAAGCAATAAGTTTTAAGTGAATGTTTGAAGAGAAGCCAGATACCAAAATGCTGTGAGAGCAGGGAGAGGGAAGGCAGCAGGAGTTTGAGGGTAAGGACTTGAGGAAAGCATTACCAAGAAGTTTGCATCTGACTTCTATGTTTGGGGGAGGAAGAGGGATTCAGAGCCATAAGTAGTGGGAAACTGGACAAGTGATGAGCAACATCACCATGATCTACCTACACAAAAGAGAATATCAAACAAGAGGGAGATATTAGCATTTTTCCTTTTAAGTTTTCAGATCCATTAACTTAAGATGCTGCTTGTAAACAACACTTTCAGACAAATTAAAGTTAGTGGCACTACTTTAAACTCCCATTTCAAAAGAGAAATGTCTTAGACTTTTATTATAAGGAAATAATTATATTTCATATAATCTTTATATACAGTGCTCATTACAGTGGAATAGTCACTTCTTTTTAACAGCTAAGTTAAGAACAGGAGCAGTTATAGTTCTTTTAATGAATAGCAGCAAGTAATTGCTTCTTTGAGCACTGTAAAGCTTGTGATAAGTTTCTCTGCATCAAGCAAAGGAAGAGCACAGAGGATGCAGAGTCCTTCCAAAGAAACACTGCTTCTTATGGCATAGAAAAAAAAAAAATGTATATAGAGTAATTACTTTGCTTCTGATGGAGCAGGTGCTACATTGTTGAGATTAACCCATAACTAAATATCTGTCCAAGTCCTAGGCAGTCTGTTCACTGAATCTGTGCTTCAGTTTGCTCCACAGCTTTCTGTATCAATCCTATGTAAGGAGAAACATCAAAACAACGCTTTGAAGTAATATCCTTTTCTTCTGTACTGAACTCAAGTATTTTAAAAATGCAGAAAGCATTTCAGAGGATAACTGCCTCCTCCTGAGGCTGAAAAAAGACATGGGGATTTAACTGTTTCTGTGCAAGTGAAAGCAGTAATTTCACTTCCATTAACCTGGAAGGAACTCAGCATGCTACAACCATATACTGACAGCCTCACAATATTCACTTCCTTAAAAGTTGCAGAAGATAAACTTTAAACAGTCACAATGCCACTTTTGTATAAAAACAACACTTAATGCTTGGACAGTGTATTTGTTACAGAATGCTTAGGCAGTGCGGGCAGGCTCACCTGCAAGGCAAGTGATAAAAGAGGGAGTAAGGTGCATCACTACAGGCAAAGGAGGTAAGGTTATATACCTGCCTTCTTTGGCTTTTGCAGTGGAGCAGAACTGGGAGTCAGAGCTCAAAAGGCACATTTCAGTGCTAAGAAGTTATGCACCACAAGTCTGACATTCTCTGCCACCTGCTTCTCTCCCCTCCCTCCCCATGCACTTCTCACCACCTCTGCTCTTCCAGCTGAGTGTTACTTCTATGCCTACACCCATGTCATCAGTGTATGGATAAGCTAACCTGGTATACTGGGCTCTGAAAATCCTCCACTCAGGCATGAGCCAACCCAGAACTAACAGACTTGCACAGCACAACACGAGATGACATACTGTGTGCTCAGCACTAGCCTGGGTAGTAACTACAACTGCACAGACCAGCGTGGGACATAAAATGTTTTTATCTGCCCTCAATATACCATCATGTTGACAAATACATCCAAGCGCACAGCATTATAAGTCAGGATAAAATTAAGGTTGGTTTGTGTTTTCCAATTGTCTCCTATGATGGCTGATGTGATTTACACACTTAAATACTGAATTTTAGGTCCTCATACCACATAGTTGGCATTTGTCTCTGAGAAGTTTTTTAAATTACAAGCACCTACTGTGTCACTCAGTCCCAGAAGTCACGTTAATCAAGGTGCCTAGGGTAAGGATCTAGGCTTAGTTCCAGGGAGTAAGGGAAAAGCTTCTGCTAAGGATGAACTACCTACTTGACAGGGTCACTGCAGCAACAGCTCTTACATTTGTATCCAAGTATCAAATCATTACAACTATGGAATCATTCCCTCCCCCCACAACATCTAAGGCAACTGACTCAGTCATAACTAGTTGCCTCTTTAAAGTAAAAGAGAGGACTCAAGACACTCAAATAATAGAAAATAAATGGTTATGACACTGCAAGAGGTACACCAAGCTGGTTGTCCATGCTGGAAAGAACATAAAACAAATTCAGTGCTCTCAGGATTTAACTCTACTTCCGGTTCTTCTCACACTGGCATCACACAATCCCGTCAATGCACATATGTTGAATTTATGAACTCAGTGCTCACCCTGACCCTACACAGTGATCTCTTTCCAGCTTGTCAGCTAACAGCTGTCAGATAAGTCACATCTCCACTGCTGTCAGGAAGGGTTTTGTCTAAAAAAAAAAAAACACCCTACTAAATGTCTTTTCCTATCACTAGTTTTAAGAGGCTCCCATCCCGTATCTAGATGAACTGGAGGATTCTATATCATCGCCTTCATTTCTCAACGCCCAAAAGGAATCTTTTTTCACAAAGCAGGCTGTACAGGAGAGGAGCATGGGCCTGACTTTCCCTGAAGGTATTTGATGCTAGTTCAGGGACAGGAGAATAGGAACTTATCAGCTGTACTTATAATTTGCCATAAAAAAAAAAAACACCTTGGCACTACTGCAATCTGGAGTTATTAGCCTGAAGACAAGCACTTTTCATGTGATTATATCTTACCTACTATGAGTCTCTCCGAGTCTGGCAGATGAGAAAACTGTCTCTTGAATTCCTCACTCCTATATTTGTAAGTAGAACTTGAGAGCTGCAACAAAGAATGGTAAAAGGCTAAGCAAACATTTGTTTTCAGCCATCAACTGCTTTCATACTAGATGTGTAATTTTATCTTGAAGAACAAGTGAACATCAAAAGAACAATAAAGAATAGGCGGTATCTAAATATGATCATCACTGTAACTTTATGCTTGCTTATGTAAGAGTGTGCTTCTAGTATTTAGGATAGCATGGGCAAAACTGTTCCCTGTACCGGGCCAGATGCCGATCACCAGGCATTACAGTTGTATGATGGCAACCTGCTCCAGAGTTAAGTCTTCTATCACAGACTAAATAAAGTGGCAGCAAGATCATGACACAGGAGGTGACAGAGCAGATCAAATCCTCGCACAGGCCACTAGCTGGACACAAGGACACAACCTAAAACACAAATTCCTACCTGGAGTACTATTTTGGGAATACTACAATGCAGTGATTTTTTTGCCAGTTGTTATAATTAGACTTGTAGGAATAAAGGCAAAAGTTTCCTCCAGTAAGCACAAATAGCAGCACCACCATCACCTCTTCATTTCTTGATCCGTTCCACACTTCACCCTGTATTTAAAGAGATCACTGTCTATGGTTCATTTAAGATTCAGACTGGGTGGTAAACTCGGAGCAAAGATTAACCTTGATGGACTTTAACACCTTATTCTTATAAATGAATGTCCCCGCTCCCATTCAAATAAAGAGCTTCAGCATGCACTCCAGAGAAGATACTGCAAAATGAAAACCAGGGCTTTTACAGCAGAAAGAACAAGGCCATAATTTTTTCTTAACAAATGTTGGCCACTTATTTTAGGAGCTGTCCTAACCAAATGCTGTATAAGGCAACAACTCAGGTAGACTACAGCTAAGACAGGAAGAAGTCGCTTTCAAGTGTTACCAAAAGCAGGTATAAATATACTATAATAGCCTCTTTTACACCTTTTTTTTAACCTTTCTAAAGATCTTAAGCACGTGGCTGCAATTCTCTCCTTGAGCACCCATATTACTCCAAAACTTGACATTCACCATTAAACCCATCTCCACCATACGATTAGTGGCTATTTACAGTTAGGGTGGGGGAAGAAAGAAGAAAGGAGGCTAAGAACCATTTTTGACTGTATGACCTCGCAGCATGTTTACTGAAAAAAAAAAAAGCCACCCAGTTTTAGCACACTCCTGCAGCATGTTAGTTGGTCACTATCCTTTCATTATGTCTGTGCTGCATGTCAAAACAATCCCAGAATAAAGACAGACTTAACTTCAGATGAGGGTCTTCTAATAAACTAGTGCCAACAGTGCCCCCACCTCATCAAGATTCTCACATTTTGCTATTTTCCACAGAAGAGATCCCTGCTTCTTTCAGTTCGAAAGTTCCTTCCACACCACCTTACACACACATCCTACAATGGTCTGTCATCTACCTATACTTGAGAATCGAGGTCATTGGCCGCAAGAACACGTAAATGATACTTCAAGGTCAGGTGCTTTAAGTGCATATAAGATGGGAGAGCCAAAGTCACCCAGACTCAGCTCAGCTTTATGAAAAAATGTTAATGTTACCTTCTATTACCATCAATAAAATACAGTCTTTATGTCTGACCACTGGTCAGTACATATTTGCTGTCCACTAATATTCTGAGCATTGCAATGCAAAAACACAGTGAGGAAAGGGAAACAGAAAATATGTCCACCTCTCCCCTTCTGAGAAAAGTAAACATGGAAGCTTTAGGTGCAAGTAACTGGGCAACATGTTAGGCAGGTCCTCTAAGCTGTATGCTTCCAGTTATATTTCAGCTATTTCTGAAATGATGAAAATAGCATTCTTGGAGACCATGTCATCTACTGAAGTAGACAGGCTATGACTTCTTGGCTGTGCCACATCATGCCCTGAAACACATGTTTTTAACTGATCATCTGAAACAGGCATCCAATGACTGCACCGCTTTGAAGAAACTGAATTCTTCGCAACTACTCTGGAAAGAGACATGGGGGAAAAAAAAAAAAAAAAAAACAAAAAAACAAACAAAAAGTCACTCAGACCTGTAAAGTTTCCAACTGTAGTTCCAGAGACTCTACAGTTTACACAGACATACTTCAACTGACTGAAGTCTGAAGTTGTGATGACAATGCTAACATACAAGGGGAAAAAAAAGAACTGGTCTGCCATGAGAGCAGCAAGAGAAAGTTCACAAACTTCAAGTCTGATTCATGAAACCATGATTTAAGAAGCCATGCTTTTAAGGAGAGAAGCAGTTCCTCAAACACACTGTATATAAGAGATAAGAGCTACATTGAAGTTAAGCGTTTTTGTGGTTATGAGACAAAATGAATTGGGAAGATGAGAATAGGAACATTACAGTTTCACAGACACATTTGTATTAGTGCCTGAATCAGCCAGATCAACAGCTTCAAGAATCCAAACTCGAGATATCTTGAGTTTTACTTAAAAAGGGATCTTTTTCTAGAGCATAAAACCTGCTATAGCTTGTCTGAGAAACCCTTGCTGGCATTTAGAAGTGTTCTTTGTCATGAGCAACAAACAGGCTGTAAGAAATCCTGTTACTAATTGTAGATTTCTGCTGAGCTCTTAAGACATTTATGAAGAGCCTGCTCTCAATCCTTCTCTAATTAGCAGAAAAAAGTGAACACAATGAAACTTTTTAACCTTATCTTTCCCTTACTCTGCATGAAAACTAGCTCTGTAATTATTACGTAATCAGTGCGTGGCTTGGTGGTTAAGAGATCACTCAAAGGACTTGGGAAACAACAGGGACAATTTTAACACTATTGGCACTATCAATTTCCTTAAAGTGAAGAAAATAAGACATTTCCATTTCTATGAATACAGCATCTTTCAGTAACTATTATAATATCCAAGACATGGCAGCATTTGAGGCAGGTGGCCACCTCTGAGTTACAAAACGTACCATTAAATATTAAAAGAGAAGCATAAATTAGGTTGCAGTATGGCATTTAAGAGATGAAAACAGCAACTGATTTTTAACACATGCACATTTCTAAGTTTAATTATAAGTCATCAGGCAAACACTCTGCCCAAGGATAATCTTAGGCATTTATGCGTATGCTATATTTAATCATGAAGAAAATTATTAAGTCCAGCCAGCAATGTATTAGCATTCTTTATCTGAAGCCACAAAATATACCAGAAACCTGTAAAATAGCATAAGCAGAAAACATCTTCAGTGTCATCCAGAAAATTTTTACAGAAAACAGTTATGTAAGAACCAGATACTCCTTGAAGATATATAGCCCAGTGATTCTCATACCTTGTTTAGAAATAGACAAGAGTCCAACTACATGAAGTCATGTTCCAGAAAAAAATATGTTAACTTAAATAGGACTAAGATGAGTTATTTATATGATAGAAGCCTGTTAAAAAAACAGCTTCCCTTCACGTTTACATCTTCAAAGTGTGGACACTGCAAATAATTTGAGATATTTAGCAAACTGCAGAGGAAAATTAAGCCACACCGTCTCCCACAAATACAGAAAAAATGCTAATCGTTAGGAAATTATTTGATTGCAACTATCACTGAGCATGTAAATAGTCAATCAACCTCAGCAGAACAGTGTGCACATTTCTTAACGTTTGCTAATGACAGTAATAATTTTGCATTTGCTTTGTTAGGGTTTTCCCCTTGTTTTGAGACACCACAAAACCCACACGTTTGTTACCTGACAATTTGCATTCTGTAGTTTTGACACGCAGCTATGAATACAAACAGCTGAGAACACAGGTAAGTTGACCTCACCACTAGAGTGATACAACTCTGATGTCACCTCCTTTTAAGAGATGCACACGTGCCTCTCACTGAGCTTTAGTCTTGGTATCAGCTACCACCAAGTGCTTGGGGTCCCAGAATCAAACAAGCCTATAAGCAAGCTGCCCGACCTACTCCCCTTTTACACTGAGAAGCCTCACTTAACCATCAAACTATTGCCAACGAGATTCATGGCTTTGCTCCTCTGTCTACTAGCAAGCAAATCCATGCCACTACCCCTACACCCCACTTAAAGACCACCTGATGTGCTATTCCCCAAAGACAGAAGACCTTGACCTGTTCTTTCCTATGAAGTTTCTGGACGTGGCCAAAAACAAATTTGGAAGCATCAGTAAGGTTAGGATGAAAGTACTTTTTAATCCTACACTAGCACATTAAAAGAAACATTACATATCCTGGCAAAAATTATTGCACTTCTACTGAAAAACGTATTGTTTTTCCTGCCTCTTCATCTAAAATCCTTCTTAGTATCAGCAGAAAGTAAAAGAAAACAGCCTTCAGAAGAACAACACAGTCAGAGAGGAGTTTAATTTTATACAAAAAGACTACTTTAGACTACATGTATTCCTGAAACTTACCCGGTAATGGAGAAATAATAATAAAAAAAAAAACCACAAAACCAAAACATACCAACATCCCACTTTCAGTGAGTCTAAAGCCTTACCAGGTTAGGAGAGAGCTAAGTTAATAGCCCTGAACAAAAGCCTCATTTGCCAGTATAAGGCAGGCAAACATGACTTCACATACTCTAAAACACATTCAGGCAGACTTATCTATAAACACAAGAACAATTCCCATGGCACGCTGAGACGGCCATCTCTCTGCTGAGGCTACCTGTAAAACATGCCAAGTCTGACAAGCATTTCTATCAGAGAAATGCTGATCGCACTGCAGCCATTTCTTCAGTCCAGAAAAGTTCATTACGACTATCTGATCTAATCTATAATGCGCAAACCACAGCTATCTTGCAATTTAGCTCCTGCTTTAAAACCAGAGCTGCAATGACCAAGTTTCCCTCTGAGAAAGAAAAAAAAAAAAAAAAAGAAGTTTTATCTTCTTAAATTAAGTCACCCCGATGGAAAAATCCATCCTAGCTATGGATAGTTCTTCTAGTGGGCTGTTGGTTAATCTTATCTTTGTGAATTATTTTTGGACTGTAAGCAAGTTAACCCCTATCTTCTTTTGGGGTAGGGATTAAGCTT